TTTATAAGTTTCTATAAGTAATTATTAATTAATATAGATTACTAAAGAAAATTATATCTAATAGAGATAAGCTATTTACTTTTAAGTTCTAGAGATTTCTAATTTTATAGCTTAAATCTAACTATAAAATATCTATTACTTTTTACCTATAAATTAATAGCTAGATAAAATAAATTAATTAAATTATAAAAACCTATTTATATTATTATATTAACTATTAGTAAAATAACTAAATCTAATTACTATTTATAGCTTAATTTATTTATAATAATATAATAAGAGAGAATATAGAAGAATTACTATTTTATTTAAACTATAGATTTAATTTAATAGCTTATAGAGAACTATAATAAAGCTTAATAGCCTTAAAAGCTATAGTAGATATTAATAAATTTGAAGAAATCTAATAGAAACTCCTAAAAGAACTTAAATTTATATTTAAATAAATATATAAATATATTAATATCTTAAGAGTTAAGAGATTAACTCTAGCCTTTAGCTACTATATTATATTTAGAAACTATATATTTAACTAACTCTAGGTTTAGCCTAGCTAACTTAACTAATTAATAGCTATTTAGTTATATAACTATATATAAGCTTAAGGTTTCTATTTTAACTACTATTTTATTACTTTATACCTTAACTTCCCCTATAATAATAATAATAATAAACTGTTTTATTATATCTCTAATACTTTAAAAGACTTCTCTAAAACTTCTACTATTTACTAACTAACTAATACTTTTAACTATATAGCCTTTAAGCTAGTATATTATTATTAATTAAACTTTTTAGAAGACTTTTAGTTTACCCCTAGTACTTAAAACTATTATAGTTCTATTACTTATTATTAGTAACGCTATTAATATTAATTTAGATCTATAGAACTTATAGATTATTAACCTTAAGCTTAAGATCTTTAGCTATTTAGAGGAAACCTATAAGATATTTATAGGTTAATAGATTACTATTAATATTTAGGATAAATACCTTAATAATATTAAGATCTTTATTTTTAAGTCTATTAAGGATAAATATAATAATACCCTCTTTATTAGGGTTTAAAGTTAATAATATAGCTTTATAAGTAAAATAAGCTATAATAACTTTTATATTAAAGTCTAAGTTATTATATTTATAGCTATTAATACCTTAAATACTATAAATATATATTAGTTCTTTAATATTATTATTATTAAGCTTACTATATAATATATTAAGTTAAATAATACTTATCTTAAAGGAAGGATTTAAATATAGTAATAAATAAAAAAGATAAGGAATAAGCTTTTAGCTTAAAATAGTAACTAGCTTTTTATACCTATTTAATAATATAATAGAGATACCCTATTAGTTACTCTTTTAGCTAAAGAACTATAAGGGTATTATAAAAAGGGACTTATAACTAAAAGGTTTAATACTATTTTAATAAATTTAAACTACTATTACTATTAGTAATAAGGCTTATTACCTCCCCTTTTCTTATAGCTCTTATAAACTTATATATACCTAAAGACCTTAGTTAGGTTAAGCTTATTAGTTAATACTAATTTAATTATTATTTATATCTATTTATTATATTAAGAGGTAGTATAGGCTAAAGTATTAGAATTATATTAAAGAACTAAGAAACTTATATTAGTAAACTACTATAAAGCTCCCTTAGAGCTAGGTAATAGTCCCTATCTAAGAGATTAACTCTAAAAGAGGAGAATAATATATACCTTTTTTATTAAAATATTAAAACTAAATAACTAAGTAATAAGTTAGATTTTAAGAAACTTAAACCTTTTAAAATTATAAAGAAAGTATTTAATATTAACTTAAAACTTATATTCCTAGATATAATAAAGTATTATTTAGTCTTTTATATTTTACTTTTTAAAAAAGTACTATAAGGATCCTATATATAAAATTATATTAAAGTTAACTTAAAATAAAAATATAAAGTTAATTAGATCTTTAACTATTAAGAATATAAAAAACAAAATAAATATTTAGTAAAATAGAAAGGTTATAAATATAAAGAAAATATATAGAAATTAATAAAATATTTTAATTATTTAGAATAGCTATATAATAAATACTAATAAATTAAAAAACTTTAATAAGATAAATAAAGTATCTAAAGCTTTTAAGAAACTTAAGGTCTAAAAAGTAAATAAGAAATTTAAAGTATTAAAGTTCTAATTACTTAATACCTTAAAAAGGTCTATAGTACTCTAAATACCTATTAATTAAGCTTTCTATATAGAGGATAACTTAGCTAGAGAAACCTCCTCTAACTTATCTATTTTAGCTATTACTTTAGTTTCTTTCTAACTCTTTTTAAATATTATCTATTTTACTTTATAAATATAATTTAACTTTATAAGAACTTTATTTACTTTATATTATACCCTCTAAAGTACCTCTATTTACTTTTAAAATAATTTCTCTATTTCCTCCTCTTTATTATTAAGGTAATAAGACTTAACTATAAGACGCTTTACTATAAAAATAAAATTAATAAAGAGAGTAATAAAAGGAATATAATAGAAAAATAAATATTAATAAATAATATCTTTTAATATATTATAAGATTTCTAAATACTACCTATATTAATATATTCTCTATAAATTAGAGAACTAAGTAATATCTTATAATATAAGCCTTTAGAATAATAGTAATAATAAAATATAACTTTAAAACCCTTTATAGTAATTTTAGGTAAATAATAGTAATAATAAAGAGTAGATATTATAAGAGAATTAAAAATATAACTTAATATAGTATTAATATTATAAAAGTTAGAAAGTATAATTAATACTTCTCTAACTTAAGAGATACTATTTATTTATATTAATCTAAGGGATTAAACCTTTAAAGAGGGGACTTAATATTATAATCTATTAGGTATAACTAATAGGATTAAGGCTTATAGGGAGCTAAATAGTTATAATAATACTTTTAAATATAGAATTATAAAAACAAAAAGAATCCCTTAAAATAAAAAAACTATAATATAAGTTATATAATAATAAAATAAAACTAAATAAAGAAAATAGAGAACTAAATATTTAGTTAAAACTATTAAGTACTTATTAATAATTATTAAATACTTATTAGTATTAATAATATAATTAATAAGAAGGGTAAAAATACTGTTTAGGATTTATATATAGAATAGATTTAAGTTTATTTAAGTTTAAACTTCTATAGCTCTTTAGTAATTAACTTATAATTTTTACTTAAGACTTTTAGCTATATCTAAATAATAATTACTCTATAACTTATATTAAAGACTTAATTAATTATTAAGCCCTTTTAAGACTTATAATTACTTAATTAAACCTATAGAATAATAAATAACTATTACTATTATTATTATCTAACTTGCTATTAATATAAACCTTATTATTAGTTAGCTAGCTATAATATTAACTTTATATCTAATATATTTAGATCCTAACTAATACCTCTATATACTATCTTATTATTATTAAGATATTAAATAGGCTAAGCTTTATATTATTATATAGCTTATTATATTATAATATATTAAGAATTAATAGTAGCTTATACTCTATTTTAATTACTATTTAAGCTATAAATAAATTTAAATATTATTATAATATTATATAACTTATATATTATTACTAAATTATTTATTTCTTTAAAAAGAATAGTATTTATTATAATATTCTTATTAATATAATATATAAAAAGAATATTATTAATATAGTTTAAATAAAAAGGGATATTATTTTTAAAAGTATTAAGAGATTAAAGAGGGTTAAAACTTAAAATTATATTAAAAATAATAATAATAAAGGTTAATATAAAATAAAGAATATAAAATAATATTTTAAGTAAATAAATAAAAAAATAAAGTTTATAATATAATTTTAATAATAAAAAGGATAATCTCTTATAGATTAATATCCCTTATTAAGGTTTTATTCTTTCTAACCTTAAGAGTAAAGCTATTTATATTATTAAATAAATTAAAAAGCTTATTAAAATAGAGTTTTATTCTTTTAGAATATTAAATATTAAATATATACTTATTAGGTATAATAAGATAATATTAATAGCTAGATTATAAGGGTAGCTGTATTATATTGCGCGGCGTATTGCATTTATCCACCTAGGTAGGTACCTAGTAGGTAGGTAGGTACCTGAGAGCGTCGAGGCAGGTCCCGCACCTCACTTACCGGTAGAACGCGGTCGGCTTGACGCGTCTGCGCCACTCTCCCGTCCCAGAGCGATTACATTTACGGCACCCTGATTTCTGCAGATATCATCCGGACTGTGATTGTCTCAATGACGAATACTTCCCAGGCAGTGAATCACTCATGAAGCCCAACATCAAATCTACCATTCGGCCGTTGAGGTCGTTGACGTCCCTGGACATGCGAATAAGTCATGCCTCAGAGCCGTCAAACGGCTTGAAAAAGTGTCATTGGCAGCTGTTGTGATGAGTTGAAAAGGGATTTTTGCACCGGCATGCGAGAATTTCCCGTGGAGCTGGCATATTACACCTGAGCCATGTTTTGGCCATGGTCGTTGGCGTCGGCTAGGGACGAGATTTTGACTGCGATTCTCGAGAGGAAAGACTTGGGATGATGATTCTCTGGTAGCTCGTGGTGTTGGAATACTCTGAGTTCTGAATTGTTTGGTACCTTAGCCTGAGAGCAATCGAATACAGCAGCGTTTGAATCCAGAGAAGCATCAGTAACGCTGAGAGGAAGGCATGTGGGCATCGTCTTAGGTGAGGAACAGCCAGAGGTCTCGCACCTTCCCTTGACCACCAGGGAACGTGGGCGCGCGATTCCCCTTCGCAGAAAAAAAAAACGGCCGTACTTGCCCATCGCAAATTCTCCAGGACGAACCATTACCGCGACACAACTTTTCTTTGCGACTTTCTCGACTTCATCCTCCCACTTCTACTCCATCAAGATACGTTGTGCAACTTCTCTTTCTTTACTCGCAGGCATCGGTCAGGACATCAAACATGCCATCCGACCCCCAGCGACCGCCGCCCAGCGAGCTCCAAGACGCGCACGCAGTCGCGACGACCTCTCGTGGCAAAAGTTCCTCGTCAGAGCCACGCAAAGAATCAAGGCCAGCCGCTACAGCTCTTGATCATCCCTTCAAGGGACTGAGAGAGAGTCTACCCGATCTAGTCGATCAACCGCCCGAGATAGGACGCGGTACTAGCTCCACCACCACAGCCTGGGACAGCGACTACGAAGATGATGCCATGATGGGCCGGAACGACATTGCTACGATGGTCAATCGCATTTTGTCTTTGGTGGAAATTCCGAACCGACAACGGCATCACAGAAATGAACTCGTCGGTCTGTGGTCCAGTCTCCAGGAACATCAGTGGAACGCAGTCTCGGATCAAGATGTCGATACCCGATACTCGGCCTGGCCTGAGTACCTATCCTTCATCTTCGGTAGCCAAATCAACGTGGTACTGAAAGCTGTCTACGGCTCTTACTACAGCAACATGGTGAAGAGGGACTGGAAGGCGCTCGTCCGGTTCGGCCGTGCCACTGAACTGCTTGGCCTTCCAAGGCACCAGGTCATTCTTCGACTAGGACCAGACGTCGCTACATCCGCCAACGCGTTGAAGGTCATCTGCAAGCTCCTCGAAAACCCTCGCAGAGCCACATTCACACCTGACGTGGTGATGACCGCCCTCACGGCGGCCATGGTCAAGCGTTGCGCGAAGCTACCCATCAGCCAGGTCCCCAAGTTGACGTGTGACGACGTCTTTATGGCAGCAAAAGGTCTGCATCCCCCATCCAAATCAATTGACAGCAGTGTCTAACCGTTTGTTTAGAGCTCCGACGCGGCCACAAGCTTGCCATCATCCAGGCCAATTCTGCACAAGGGCACGAAGCCGACATGAGCCTACCAGACATGGCTCGACTGACGCTGTGCGACGTCCCTGACAGCCCACTTCCCGACAAGTCTCGCCTTACCTCGACAGACAAGAAGAACATCAGCCTACCTGATATCGGCAGCCTCACGCTCAACGGCTGAGATGACACATGGGAGAAGCCGGAGTATCCATCGTTTTCTCGTTCTGCCCATCCCAGCGCGTAAGAAAGGGTGGATCAAAAGGCCTGCTCGTCCAAGAGACTATCTGAGACTGGAAGACTACATTCTTTGGTGTTGTAATGGCTTGTACTGGGCTGTACTATTTCGAGAGGATACATGTTGCGTCGCTTGCTCTGTTTTTGGTCCATGGACAGTACTGAGGAGTGCGGAGGCTAGGTCAGTTTCTGTAAGCAGAGGGGCGGATGAGGGGCTGCCTATACAGGCACGGAAGGCTGAAGCTGGCAGTGTCCAGTTGCTCCTCCGTATGGATATGAGTCGGTACGGTTCAAATGAAGGGAAGCCAATGGCATTGAAGGAGTTTTCACATCTGAGACAACGCGATGTCAACGGTCACAGGACCATTTCCGTGCTTCGTGGTGTAATGCATTGTCTTTTCTACACGACCATACCAGAATTAACCCCAGCCTATCATGCTCATATCAAAGGCGAGAGACCGGATCCATTCAACCAAGCGTGACTTGACACTCAGGACGTGGGTAAGTGTGACGAGATTGATGTACCCAGTGTCGTGTGTGTCAGAACACCTGATTGTTCGTGCAGATCCCATCCAGAACAGCCTCCCTGCGCGTCTTTCAGGAGCTGAAGGTGAGCTGTGGTAGCAGAAGACACCACAGAGCCTGAATGGGTCCTCTTGATTAGTATCCTCGGCGATCCTCTCTTATCATCTGCACTGATAGTTACCAAAGGCTCCTTTTCTGCCATGACTTCTTTCTTGTCAAATAATTCGGTAACAATGCTTTCTAAAACAAGCCTAGCTCTGACTTTCCGCTGTCCTACTTCTTGTCCTCGACGATTACGGTTCGAGGAGAGAATGCGCCGCGCCATTTCTTTCTTCTTTTATGACTTTCGTAAGGGGTCTTCTGCCTTCAGGCCGGACGTGCCTGTGCCTCTGGCCCTCGATCACGCATTTCGGGAATCGTCCGGCGGTCCAGTTGGGTTTCCGAACAGCTTTCTTGTCTCCCACTCTTTGCGTTCAAATTCTCCCAAATTGTTACACACAGAGTGGGTTAAAGAGCGAATTGGGAAGAACTGGTGAGAGCTGGTGGGTGCGGAAGCCTCGTTGTGGACTTCGGGCTTCGTTGAACGTCAGCCTGGCACCTGGAAAGTGAACCGTCACTGGAGGATCAAGCCAACAGAGAAGCGGGATCAACCTTTTTACTCGCATGAATCCGGTGTATTCCATAGGATGCTCGCGGCCGAACTCGGATCGAGATCAACAGACCCCTCGTCACCAATGACAAACAACTGGCTCATTCATGGTGCGTTGGCGGCCATGATACCCTGATGAAGCTAAACAGCTTGAGCCAGAGGAACTCGAGATTGGATGCGGAGCTGAAGCGAGCAAGCCTGATGTCTTTTGGGATACCATAGCCGAGATAGAGTCGCCCGCATGACAGATTCAATAGTTCATAAGGCTATTGGACTGGCCCAGAGAGGTCAACAGGGATAGTCGTATTCATTGTTGCGGTCAAACTGCGCTTTCACGTCCAATCCTGATCGGAAATCCGTCTTAGACACTACAACTGCCCTGGTTCCTGTCTTAATTCGCCACACAAAGGTCGATCCGGGGATCTCTGGGACCGGGGCAGTTCGCCAAACGCTGTGGGAGTCAGGTTCCAACATCGTAGAAGCAACTTCTTGACCAAGGGAAGCTGGAGGTTTCTCCGCTGCGCCCATACCGTCCGCGGGCTCCAGTAGGTCGTTTGCGAGATCACCTCTGTTTGCTTCTCTCAGGTACCTGCAGAAGTGAGCCCAAGAAGCATTCACGGAATTTCAAGCGACCTATAAAACCTGTGAGGGACCTGGACAACCCAAAGAGACTCGAAGAACTCAGAACATTAGAAGGAACGTTGCGACTTGGTCCTTCCCACCGTTGTTGTCCCACAACCCTCCGTGAAGCATGCCGAATTCGGAGAGTCTTGAAGTCTGTGGTCGGAGCAGGCGCCGAAGGAAAAGCGAGGAGGGCCTTCGTGGCGGAAGTGTTCGCGTGGGCCAGGCCGGAAGATGGCAGAGGTGAGATAGGCCCGGTGGATTCGGACGGCTCAGAAGAATGGGGAATGCCTGATGGTGTTGCTCGAAGGACTTTGAAGACTCAAAGAGCTCGAAGGAGTTAGAAGACTCAGATGGCTCGAAGAAGTTGCGGTCGTTCAAGGAAGGGATTCTAACTCTGCAAAATTCGACCGATAAGTTTGCATTTCCTTTGAGACTCCTTGAAACTCCAAAAAGCTGGAGAAGCAACACGTCTGCCTGTTCTTGCTTGGACTGGGATCAGTTTGGCAGTTTTGATACTGTACTGCCGTTCAGCCGCTCAAGATAAGACTGCTCCGAACCCTCGAACGTATCGACGAGCCGGGCGAGGGGTGGTGTCTTACGCTAGTCAAGATGCACCTGGCAGATCTACGACTCAATCGTCCAATAGGTCTTTCCATACTCCCGACATGGAATCGTTTCCTCCGCCGGTATGTTCTCGTGTGTCCACATTGATGCTTTTTGGGACACCCAGGATTCTGAGAGTAAAACAAAAGAGACACGTAAAGCGAAGCCTCCGATGCAGAACAAAAGACAGCTTACATGGTACCCGGGTTCGAAGACAAGGTTGTTCGGAATATGGATTACGGGACATTATGTGCGAGCTCCAGAAATAATATCCTATTCAAGGTGATCGAACCAAGCGGATTGCTGAACGCAAAAGACGGCACTGATGAGCGATTGTGTTGATGAACGAGAGCCTCAATTCAAGAATGCCGAGCTTAGGGCAGCCCCGACCAGTTGAGAAACAACAGAATCACGCTTCTAAACCTCCCATGCTCGACGCGAAGCTAGTAGTGCTCATATTGTGACCGTGACTGAACCCTTGAAACGTTGGCCCTGTACCCGACGGTATGAGGAATGGCAGATTGACGTAGTAGAAGCGGAATTTCTCTCGTGCATTCGGTATACCTAGAGCATCAAGCTCACACTTCTTTAGAGTCTCCAACACTTCGTCCCGTGATTCTCGTGGCTCTGCTCTGAGGCACGTCGACCTAGAGAGCATGACTGATGTGAAATCTCTCATGCGTTAGACCTTTATCCCACGACCATCATAGCGGGTCCTTGATACGTCCAGAATGAAAAGCACTTTCCCCGAGGGTCAATGCCGCAGTAAGTACCCAATACATAAGGCGTGGCGATATACCGGGTCCCGCACGACCAGTCTACGTCAGCCAGCAAAAACTGGCCGTACTCGTCTTCTCTCCCCCTTGCTCCAATCACGCCAGCTGCGCTGTTTGCTTCCGTATCCTTCCGTTAACGGTCCAACATAAAGCTCCGGCCAGCCCGTATGTCAAGGGGTCAGGAATCCCTCGCAGTGCCTGGGCTGTGTCGGTCGGTGACGGACTGATCTCGTCTCGGGCAGTGGCGGTTTGCGGAAAAGTGAACTCGCAGCGCCAGTTGAGAAGTCAGGAAGAGTAGCTCATGGATTAAAAGAAGCATCCAGTCTCGCGGGTAGACTGACGCGAACACAGGTACTGATCTTCATCACGAAATCCCGAGGCTGGTCTTGTGGGTGCGGCACTAGGTGTCTTCCTGACCCCGTCTCGGTCTCGCCGGTATGGTGCCAGGCTTCTTGTAGGTTCGGGGCTGGCATCGTAGGCTCGGGAAAGGACTTGATGTAGGCTTGCGGCGACCTATTTCAGCGATTAGAAAGTTATCCCTCTCGTAGGCATCAAGGATAGACTCTTGAGTTCTTACCAAGGGGACTTGTCAGTCGGTCGACCAGGTCGGTAGAATAGAAGAGAAATCAATAGGAAGAGCGAGTCGGCGCAGTTCATGTATCGTCAGCGCCGAGCAGTCGAATGTAGCCCGTTCGTCGTGCTTGGCAGCAGCGAAAGCTCTGGATGGGCGGGTTTGCTAGCTGGGCAATCAAATGCTCGTCAGACGGCGCTTCATCTGACAATGGCGAAGAGGGTAAAGAAGTAGAAGATGTGGGGAGGTATCTGTTGTGTACCGAATTTCTCGTACAGCAATGTCAGCCGGACTGAAGAGCGAGGGGAAATGGGCGGTAGAACATACCAAGTATGGGTTGCGGTGTCTTCAGACAGCCTGTTGCGATGGAACGCATGATGTTCTGGCGAGATCTGGGGTCTGCGTCGCCAGTGAAGAGGAGTTGCCGATCCACCTGCGACGATTTCCGTTCGCCTTTCTCTTGCTGCCTCACTTCGACCGGACTCACCACACTGCTCGTTCTCCTCCGAGTCATTCTCAGAATTTCAGTTCTGTAATATTCGATACCGAGCGCTCCCGCCAACGTCGCAATGCATATTTTGCCTCTTTCGTGCAGAAAGACGGTTTCTCCAGCTGACCGACCTGGCACACTTCCGACTTGCGGCTTGCCAACGGGTACTGGAGCAGGCGATCGCGTAACGAAGCATTCTTCTGTTCCATAGGGGCGAGCAGAGCCATTTGACAGAGTCAAGGTGAGAGAGGGTATTCAACACTCGTGTCTGATTTGTCGAAGTCTTCCCACTGTCGGCGCCCGGTCCCCTGAATGGGAGGTTAAACCATCGCCAGCTGTTCGCAGAACCTTTTCGCGGAATGACCGCGTCGATCGTGTGTGTCTGGCGCAAGCCGAATCGTCCGTTTCCGCGCTGTCTCCTTCGTTAGCACTATGAATGACCGAAGAGAATCCAGACAAACACTCACAACAACAGGTTCGTATCGTCTCTACTGACAGGGGACCGTCACCGCCCGCGTTATGCCGTGCTAGAGATGGAAGCGAAATATTGCCTGGATTGTCTCGATGCGGAGGCGGAACGAGTGAAAAAGCATGATCGTTTTGATTGCGCTGCAACCATCTACAAGACTGTCTCCGCTGTGCCAGCCGTTCGTGGCAGTTTTCCCATCATCTGCCTTGGCGGGCAGAACGCAGCGTCGAAGGGTTCTGAAAATGGAAATGGGAACGAACAAGGCACGCTCTTCCTTCTGCAATTCGCTGGACCCCGTGCGATCCCGCCAGATGCGTCGGTCTCCCTCTGATAGGCCGAACTTCCCTTGTACTGTTCGTTGTACTGGTTGTACAGGCTTTGGTGGCTCGTCATCCGCTCTATCCACCTGGGTCCCTCACAATCTTTTCTCCACTGTCCAGTAGAGTCTTGAGCCATGACACCGGCGCTGGGGCAGAGAAAGAGAGAGAGGTCTTGAGGCATGCTTGTTCGAGCAGAAGGATTTTTAGGGCAGGCTGGAATAGCAGAGGTATCTGTCTTGGGCCGTGCCGGTCGGGTGCGGAGGGATTTGTCGTGTATGGCTTACTGGCCAGCTTCTGATTGCCGAAGGGCGATATCCTCCACTGGACGCCAGTTACGCCCGTATATTTCCCCCGTAAATTCTCATCTCTCAACACTTCCTTAAGACGAGCTTAGCCGTGCCAGTCGGGGGCAGAGGGTCTCGTTCACCATGGCCCGGAGGCCCGCCAGCCTCATAATCCGCGAATGCATTGGAAGTCGTCGTGAGAGTAGATGGGGCGGGAGGAAGACGTATCATCTTGTCTTGTTTTCGGCTGTGACTTTCGGGGCAGAGGAACTCTTGATGCCAGTCGAGAGGGCAAAGGATTGATAATCTTGAGCTGTGCCGATCGAGATGGCATAGGGACTCGTTCATGGCGGTGGCAGGCCGAGTCGGAGAAGGACTCTTGTCGAGATTGTGAGTTCCGTCATACAGCAGCAGGGAACACACCGGATTCAAATCCTCGAATACGGTTAGCGATCATCAGCACGCAACCTCGGAGAATAGTCTCCTCGATAAACAACGCACGGTTGCCGCCGCTTACCCGTTGATCTCGAAAGGCCCTAAGGGGTCTTCTTGTAGACTCAGAGCATTTCCTTCAGCTCTTTACAACTAGGTATCTCGTGGGCTCTCGGTAGCCGAGCTCCTGGTAGGCTTACGGTGACCAGATACCGTCGTTGGCAAGTTGACGATCTCTCGGGCCGATCGGTGAGCAGACTGTTGAGCTCTGGATGACCAGGCCTATCGTGGGCGCAATGGTCGCGCTGGAAGTTCTGCTGACCAGTTGGGTGGTCTTCTCTCGGCAGAAGAAATGCGAGTTGACAGGAGAGTATAAGGACAGAATTGTAGAAGAGCGGCTGGAGTGTCGCAGTGAAAGCCTTGAGCAGGGGGTGGCCGTTTGTGCGCCAAATTGCCGAATTCGGTCTGTTTGTTGTTTGGCAGGTGTGAAGAGTCTCCGCTGGGTAGTCGGCCGGGCGGACTGGGCTCGCCTGGCGGGTAAACACGATCGTTTTAGAAGCGGAAACAGTGGGTGAAGAGAATCTCGGCGCCTGCTGATACCGCTCGAAGCGAGGAGAGATCGCGAGCAGGTCTTTGGCCAATTGGAGGAGTGGTTGACGACGGTATCGAGCGGCGGGATTTGACGAGATGGAATTGGTGTTTTGGCGAAGTCTGCAGTCGTTGCTAGCGGAGAAAAGATGTAGGAGGGGTGGTCTCTTCGGCCAGCCGACCCGCCGACAACGGTCGCGTTGGTTGTTGGCGACCTCATAACCAAGCCGGTTCCTCCGTTTGACAGAGTCGAGGTGAGGGTACCCTGCAGTTCATGCCACCCCTGTCGGATCTTTTCTATGTTGCCGGATCGAAGTGAGGGTATTTGGCAGTCGCATCTTGGCGGATTCTTCAAGTAGTCGCTTCAACGCCCAGAAGGGGAGGCTCGAGATCATCGGTTAAATAAGTCCCACGGGTTGCCGGTCGACGATGGAATAACTGACGTGCTCTTCTCGGTAGGTGCGTAACAGAGGGTTGCGAAGTCGCACGAGGGAAGGGTTATGGCGAATGCCAATGTTGTGGTGACGAGATATCTGCGATCGTCAGCTGGAGCGCACAGCTGGAGCTTCGTGGCCCTCATGATGGTGTCTGGTGTGGTGCGGACTGTCTGGTCCACGTAACGTTTGTGAAGCAAGGAAAGCCGTGTTGCCGCACAGCAGTGAAGATGACAATGTCTCTCGAGACGGTAAACGCGAGATCCGGTGCGCCAGAGACGTAGGAGAACTTGCGAAGGGCTGCTTGGAGTCTGTTCACGAGACGCAATCGCAGTACAGTGAAATCTAATCGACGCGGCGTTGAAATATCATCGACAATAAGGTGCGACCGACGTGTATGGTCATAATCCTTGAGCGATGCGAAACTGAATAATGAGGACGTGAGAGAGGCAGCAGCTGTTGGGCGAAGTCGTTGGCGATGATGTGTGAAGATGTACGTTTGTGGTGCGGGGAACATGAAGCCCTTCTTGCATCATGACCTTTGAACTTTCCGGCTCATAACAGCAGCTGCCTGGGGCACGATTGCTGTGTTTGGCAATTGAGAGCGAGGGAAAATGCCATCTGCCAAATGCACATTTTTGTCGAAAAAGCTGCCGGGCGGGCGACTGGCTTTTTTTCCCTTCTTTTTTTCTTACCTAAGATCAGGTCTTTTTTTTCTTAGGCGTAGGTTGTTTGGATTGGGCAGTTTGGCAGGGTGAGTTGCTCCCTAACTCCACTGAAGCCCAGCCCGCCACTCCGCTAACCGTGGCGTCCACAGCCCTGGAAGGGCCCGGGCCCGCCCCAAGTTGAAGCTGCAACGTCCTGCACCTGCGCTCGGGAGAGACCTCCACTGTCGTCGAGGTCTCTCCCCGCGCCGCTGCCGCCTCTACCTTACTCGGATTTTTATTCATGCCCCGCGTCATTCGCCCACCTGTATCATCGGCATCTCTCAGCTTGCTTGCAAGAACTTCTCCATCTCAGATCAAAAAAAAAAAAACACCTTGAATCAAAGTCAATGTGCCATGTGCCACTAAGTTCGTTGCGGCCTAGCCAACACCGTTGTCGTTCTCCAAGGCGACCGACCATCCATCCGGCTCGGGGGCTCTGGGCTGCTGAAGCCCATCGCGACCAACCTGAAAACCAAAGGCAGTTTCGCTCCACCAATGGTAAAGCTGGTGGAGTGCAATGCAGCAAGACTCCTTCAAGTTGCCTGTCTGATCTATGATGTCGAACCCCAGTGGCTGGCGATGAACTTTGTAACGTCGTGGTGGCTTGCGGTGTACCTTGAGAACTCCATGAATGACGTTCCAGCCCATGGTACCTTGATTCGACTTCCGCGGCTCCTTTCAGCCGTGGCGTCCATGCGCAAGTAGCCGTTCAGCTACCTGTCCTTCAAGCATAGATTACCTCTCGCGGGTGGCTCAGGGCCTCACTGCTGAATCGGGGGTGTTGTTGCCGAGGCCGCAAGCTGCGCGATTCTGTCATGATCCAGCTTCTTCGATGACTAGAGATGAAGACAACGACATAGAGGTAAGATAGTGCGCACGCTGAGAACTCTACTGAAGTCGGGACTCGGGAGAACTTCATCGAACAATGAAGTCGACTTCAGTCTGATGAAGAACTGAGTCGGGACTCGAGACAACTTCATCATCGTCCAGGAGGGCCAACGGGTTCTTCTTCAGGCATTCCTGTTTCTCGGCGAGTTTCATAGGTGGGTGTGGAAGGATTGGACGAAACTTACAATCTACCTAGCAAAAGGCATGACGTCTATCCGCCTCCACCACCTACTTACTCACTTCACTTCATGTTCCTGTCCATCCCACTGCAGACTCGACATGTTATATCCCAATTGAATGCTTCTTGGGAATGTAGCGATATGTTTTCCACGAATGTGCTCCTGCAGGGTGTATAATAGAACTGGCCTGCCATCTTCTCGGGAGACTTGACCGATACCGTGCGGCATATGTCTGTCCGTGGCTGCCATCACAAGGTGTTGAATAGCCTCTGAAATTGCTCTCATCAACTCTCAGTGAGTACCAATTCCAAGACACCAAAGTGAGGGAATGTTCGCGAAAAGTTCATAGCCCGTGGTGCATGCCGCGACTCTGGTCATTCGGTTTCGATGAAAGCATAGTCGTCACCTGGTCGGGATTCTCGAGGAGTTTCTTGCCGTTCGTACAGATGAATTACAGAATTTCGACGCATGGATCTGCCACTTCTCGAATCAGCTCTCCGACGGAAAGGCAGCGCGCAATGAAGCACCTCAACTGCAATGACCTCATGGGAAGACTCATGTCAATTTCACTCCCAGTTACTTGTGTACTATGTTGCCAATACCTCGTCTCTTCAAGTGAAACGATACGCAATATGTCTTGAGACTTGTCAGTACCACTACCCGTAAGAAACATGGACATCCCTTAGACTTGTGATTGAGTCAAATGATGCAACGGTCACGAAAAGAATGCAGGCCGTAAAATAGAAGGGCTTGATTTACTGAGAGAAAAAAGTCAAGGGAATGAATCATCATTCATGACTACGCATTCTGTAAGTCAAAAGAACTCCCAGTCTGACCCGTCTCTTCATCGATTCCCCCTCATGTCTAGCAAAGCCTGAACCAAATGTCACACACGTAGGGATTCCCCCCGCCCCCCAAACGCCCAAGCCGATGACAGATCTTATCCGATGCTACTAACAGCAGTTCGCCTGGAAGAGGCATCCGCCACCACAACATCCATCACAGCACCAAGAAAGTCTTTGACACAGGCCAAAGAGAAATGAATCTGGTTGTAAACGTGACAAACGGCGTTTCCCCCAGCAGACGTAGACGCTGCCGCGTTCCGGCACGCGAACCAGCCAACGACGTCGCCGATCAAAGCTATTCCGATGCCGAAGTGGACGAGGGCGAGTGCGAGTGCGATGGTGCGGCAGGCGATTCGGATGTAGACGATGGCTGTCTTCAGCAGATTCCGAGTCGACTGCATCGCACTGGGAAGCTGGGAGGGGCGGCGCGTTAGTTATTTGACGGCAAGAAGTGGACTTGGGCTCTGCCTACCTTGCGTTGAATGCCGTTACTTTGAGGCCGTTCTTGATGAGAAGTTGAGTCGCTGAAGGGTATTTTGGAGTTTGATGTCCAGATGGGCATGCTGACGCCGCGGGTTAGCTTTCGCTGCGCCATTTCTTTGGAATGGAAATAAGGTGAAGAAAGGTTGATCGAGAGTGGTCTTTGCAGGTGAGATACAGGTGAGTTGCACGCAGTCTTTATGTCGTTTTTGTATCTAGACATGGCTCATCGATGCCTGCTGTCTTTGGGGTCTTTGCTGGTCGAATCTACTGGTGGAAACTCAAAGGGTCTTGGGTCTTGTGGGTGAGTCTTAAGCCTTGAGGTCTGGTGTCTTCAGGAGAAACAAAGACGGCCTTTGAAGTGATCAGACAGTTCGTTCCGAAACCGATGAAAGAAACACATGCGATTACGATGGAACCTTTAAGATGCATTGCGTACTGGGGCGATCAAAGCAACGCAGGGTATCGAATGTACTATGGGTGTCCATGGTATGATAGATATTCATCACACCATTCGCTCTGATCTAGATGCCACATCATCATGACATACGCAACCGGAAGATTGATCTATGAGTTTGAGCCAGACTGACAGGAAAGAAGGGGTCTCCTTGAAGTAGATTCTGTTTGAGAACCAAGTAAAACATCACCAAAAGCAACAGGAAGATCGCCGAAAGTCCTCTTGAAGAAGCGTGTCATTGGCCTCATCCTAATCAGTTTTATCACCACTCGCATCTCTCGAGCCTGCATCACTGCGCTCGATGATTTCCTGCTACTTTCTATAGACAGCTCAAGGCCTCTTGAGCAGCGGATCTGCTCAACGGCCTGCTCAACGGCCTGCTCAACGGCCTGCTCAACTCTCACGAGCCTCAGAAGACTCTTCACCGGGTTCGTGTTGTTCTCCAGGATCGGGCCGAGCGCCAGAGACACGCCGGGCGACTCGGTGAGGAGCCGGACAGCAGGGAAAAGCACACGATTTTATCTGGTTCTCGATGCTCTTGTCGACGGCCTCCTCGGGAACCGTATCCTCGTCGCCTCTGAAGGTGAAGGAGAGGTTGGACATATCGGGATCGGCGGTCCTCTTCCACGCGCTGGGAGATATGGGCGAAGAGGGAGGAGTCTTTTCTTGTATGAGCTCGTCCCAGATGGCGCGTCTGAGCTCTGACTTTCCGGTAGGGTCGAGGCTGGGACGGGCGGTGCTGGCATCGGCATCGGAGTCTCCGGCTTCCGGCTGCCCCACACACCCTGGGCGGAGCGGAACGGGGCAAGTGGGGCGGTCGGTTGCCGACTCCGGAGCTGGATGGACGGATGTATCGAACCCGCAGAGACGTTGCAAGATGATGGTGAAGGAGCGCTTAAGTTTCTGAACTGAAAGGCTATTAGACCGGTGGTCATGGTTCGCGAAACTAATGGGCGCTCATCATCGCGAATCCGATTTACATTTCGGTGTCCACGGCGGCAGGTCGACCTCCATTGCCGAAATCCAGACCCTTGCGCGGTTACCGCCATTTTGACTTCGCAACACCTATTCCAATGCTCTTCAACTGTGAAAAATTCCTAGCCGGGCTTTTTCACCTCTCGAATGATCCAGTTTGACAGGTTCCGACTAGCCATCATCCTGGTCTGCCCGAAAGACGACATCAGGGCCGGCGATTGATCGATCCGACCTTCATCCGCATCCATGTAACCTCTTTAGCTGGTGAGCGACGAGGGAACCCACGCAATGGGACATCCTGTCGTTGTTGGCATCGTCCAAGGACCGCGCCATGATAGGCAACATGTATGGTGCTACAAGGTAGGGTCAGAGGGGAAGATGAGAGGTTCTTCTATTCCTTCCGTACAAATGTATACGTTCAGGAAGCTCTGATCCGAGTCATCTCGATCCCGTTGTTCATGACCGCGCCGCGCGGGTTGACAACAAGAGCCTCGGTGCCTTTCTCGTTGCCCAGACCCCAGATGGTCAGCAGCTTGACAACATCAACCGGGGCTCGCAGGCCCTGGGGAAACCGAAAAGATCGTTCTCCAAGAAGGACCTGAGCAGCGTTGAGGACTTGGCACACGAAGAGTGTTTGTGTTGAGAACCGCCTTACGTTCTCTGCAGTCGGCAATGGCAAGTCCGTGCCGGTTCCAGGACCTCCCATGCCGAAAGATGCCCCATATTCCCTAAACATCGAGCGAATCCAGAAACCACCGCCGAAATGGCCCAGAACTCCAGTCCCTCAGGGCCTGCAACATCGCAAAGACCTTGTAGCAGCCCAAAAGCGTGCTCGTTCCTTGTAAATCGAACGCCTTCAAGATGTCCTGTCAAAGTTAGCATTGCGTACCAGTCCTGCGAAGGAAGCTAACTCACGATGCGCTCGTCACGATCCACAGCAAAATGGACCTGCCATGTGTCCCCGGATATTTGCACGAGCGGAAGCGGCATGCTGACCACCCCGCGCTCGTCGTCAAAGAGATATCGCAGCCGGGCCAAGTGAGATGACGCCCACACGGACAGTTGTGCAAGGGCCTCATCACCCGATATCTGGGACTTCTTAGTCTCGATGCTGACGGTGATGGGGCGCTCCCGCAAGGGGGCGTAGTCGATGTGATTGACGGAGGGCCTGGGTACGGGTGGCTGTTTACGGCTGCCGGGCTTCAATGCCCCCGACTCCCCGCTCGCTATGCTGGATGTCTCACTAGCACTCGACCTCGTCCGTTCCGTGGCGAGAGCCTTCATGTTCCGGGTGACCGCAGCCTTGGATGCCGCGCGAGTCTCCTTGTCGGAAAGGGCGATACAATAATCGACCATCCTGTCTTGGAAGTCAACGCCGGCCGAGTCCTGGGGTATCCACTTCGCTGCGATACGTGCGGAGGTCACGTTCCAGGAACCGACGACAGGGTCATTGGCTTTCCCAACTGCCGCCCTCAACATGGGCCCGTGGACGCACTCGTTCCAGTGAGCCTCGGAGCATCTCTCCAGCATTGCAGTGACGGTCTGCTCGACAACGTCCGACATGATTTCCAGCTCAGCCAGGAACTGTTTCCGAGCGGCAGGCCCGCTGGAGTCGTTTCTCATAGAGTCGGTGCTGATCTCGGTCTCGCGCCCTTGAAGCTCCCGCTCGCGAGCCAGCACTTCCCTTTCGATCGAAGCCGGTATGATGTTCTTGCCGTCCTTGATCTCTTTGAGCCTGTTGTAGAGGCGCTCGACGCTCTCTGGAAAAGCTGGCGCGTTGCGCGCCAGGCCCAGCTCAATAGGCTTCGCAGCGAAGCGGAGATCGACGACGTCCTTGACCGGACTCCGCTGGCGTCGGCCTAGCCCCCCTTGGCTTGAAGTCGTCGACAGGGACGGCGTGGCGCTGCCCCCGATCCGAAGCGGAAGCCGATCGAAAACCTTGGAATACGCAGATACCGAGGACGCTGTTGTAGCTGCTCCAACAACCTCCTCGTCTCGCAGCATGCTGGACGACGAAGAGGGTTCTCCCTCGCGTCCGCCGGCGGGTGCCCGCTTTTGTGTTCCTTGATCGGTTCCTCTTGACGCGGCTCGGGTTACGCGCTGTGCGGTCGGGCGTGCGGTCGGTCGGCGGGGGGTGGGCGAGTCGGGAAGCCCTTCGGTGTCGTCGGTGTCTGTCTCGGCGAGCTTCCGCCCTCTGCGGGATCTCCCTCTCCTTCCGGTCTGCGGTGTTTTCGGTGCGTCTTTCGGCATGCTTGCGTCGACGGAGTGAAATAGGGACGGGCCGGAGTTGGCGATCGATGCCTCGGTTGATGTGGAATTGGAAGTTTCGGAAGGCGCGAAGGCTGCAGAGGAAGGGAGGTCTTGCAGCCAGGCCAAGACGATCAGGTTGAGCTGGATTGCTTCGTCGATAAGATGGCCAGGTCGAGAGGTCGCCGTTGGAGTCGAGACAGTGGGCCGACATTCCCCTTCCTGCAGTTGCGGTTCCGTGGGATGCATGTTGCTCGTGTGGTGTTGCAGCTCGTTGTGTTGAATTGGGCGCAAGCGGGTACCGACCGTGGGCGAGTTGGGTTGATAGGTAGGATCTGGAATATGTCCGATGAATGCGACGTGACGTGTGTTGATGTTTGGTTGGCTGGGCAGCGGTCATGGTGGTCAAAGCGTCATCACTGTGGATGCAGCGGCACAGCACCTCCCATCCACCCGACTGGTCACATGGAAAGTGCAGCCACTGGACCGTGTCTTCCCGTCAATCCCGTCCTAAATTGTTATGCTGGTGACAAGTCTACAATTAATCTTCAGGCTACCTTGAGATTCATTGCCAACCTCTAAAGACAATGACAAATGTTGCTTGCCTTTTTAGATATCTAATGGGGGCACTTTCATTCTGTGGCTGAGTGTGGCTGGCTGTGGGTCCCAATTACCTAAGGCGGGGTCCGGCCAACCGCAATGTACCACGTGACCTGGTATCAGCCACGTGACTCGGACCTGCCCAGAAGCGCCCCTGGTTGGGGGCGCTGACGCCTCCCCGGGCGACACCACGACGCTGCAATTGCCATCGCTTCAATAATTGAATAGCGTACGCCAACTCCTCATGCATCAATCAAGCTTGCAACACACAACTTCAGCGGAATGCTGTCTACTGGCCCCTTCCATGTCGACATTCGCCAAAGGGACATCTACCCCATTTCCCATTTGGGTGCTTCTGACGTGCGGTACTTTTGATTCTTCGGGTGCGGAGACGCAGCCAATCAACAAGGACGTGGCTTTTTTTCAGGCCAATTGCGAATTTCGTGGTTGATAGTACTTGGAGAAAAAGCGGAGATACTGAAACCAAATGTACCTACCGGTCGCCCATCGCATGCACCGGTTGGCTGCGACATCATCTCAGCTTGCGACCAGAAAAGCTATGCTCAAGCCTCGTATGGAAATAAATCAATGAAACCAAAAGAGAGATATATACATCGTGAGACCACAAAAACACGCTCATGCTGCCTCGGGTAAATCTTCACAGCTTGATACACTAGTAGCACCACAGCCGGACCGGGAGGACGGCACTGGATCCAAGACGGGGCCGGAGATCCGCACAAGCCCCGCACGGACGTGTGAACCGTCCCTGCGGTCTCGGTGGCCCGGATTGAATTTTCGGACGTTGCAAAGTTGAGACAATCCGAGACGCAAGACCACACGGGCAATTTACACACGACAACGGCAAAATTCCAGGGAGACTACATACAAGGCAAAGCAAAATTCCATGAGCCTTTCTATGACTAACTGAGGAACAGTCTGCCACGGCCTCTAGGTCGGTAAGTCCCAGAAAAAGGGATGTTGGTGGTATTACTGCTAAATGGTCGTCGCATTTTCATGAGCATGCTATCATTTACCCTAAGCTTGTAGTCATTTCCCCCGTCAAATACTAACTTGAACTCCACGCAACCATTTAGCTCTCCAACACCTACCCGGTCGATGTACACACCAGAGACCCCAATCAACGCAAGAAAACAACGAGATAGATCTAGCACTATCTAATTCCCGTGACAAACACAACATAGTCTCTCATCCCAACCACACTTATCACATACGACCATACCCACTGGAGAACGCGGGATCCCGTCCGCTCTCCCATAGCTAAGCCAGTGAGGGCTGGAGTAGTAGTCGGGTCGGTGACGACCGGCGAATGCCTGGTGTTGTATGTTTTTATTTTTGGCTCCATGTGCTGACTGACTGGCAGGCTTCGTTGAGCATCGCAATGTCAGGCAAAAATGCTGGGGGCATAGGATCTAAGCCATCTTGCAGGGTCGCTTGCTGGTTGCCCTCTTTTTCTGGTTTAGACGCTAACGCGGGGATTTCTGGTGGATTAACTCTAGGACCACCTGAATATTTCCGGATCTCCGGACTCACTCCCGCATTCGTGACGACGCCCGTCTTCCGTCAAGAGAAAGAATCGAGGGTTGTTCGATACAAGCAAGATGTCAGAGGTTTCGAAAACAGGATCTGGGACTTCAATAGCGAGATCTTTGCGGAGATGACCGAGACTTCTAAGAGGTCCAAAGGGATGGCTAAGTCTCACGACCAATCGTGGATTACGGGCCGTAAAGAAGTCGCCTCCGTAAGGATTCCGAATTATTCGATGCTTTGATTCAGCGTTTTGATATTCCGCAATGAGACAGAGAAAACGGGAACGGCAGAAGTAAAGACAGTGACAGTTATGATGATGTTCTCGATTCAATGACAACTCACGCTATGAAGAAATAAAACAAAGTCTACTAACATTAGGAAGCCAAATTTCCCAAAGTCTTCCCTATTGAAAGCTGGAGAACAACCCCCACAACCATGCCTACTACCAATCTCCATTAGCGACCAAAGTCACTCGGCAATATCAAGAAGCCAAACAGGAAGAGTTTGGAACTCCGCTCAGGTATTTTAGCAAATTTCATCAGGCTCTATGGCGGAACTTGGAGGCGTTCTCCGTCAGCCTCTGTCTGCATTGGCAAATTGCTTGCATCACTCTGCTTATCCCTGATCCTTATTGCGGCGATGGTCATGCTCTATATATATCTTATGGACATCACAGTATCCTGTCTTCTTGGTCTGGAGTGGTGGGCCGATATTGTCTCTTTAAGAAGTCAGCTGAAGTCTCCATCTTCATTTTAAGACTGCTTGGGTGGGTATCGGAACACCGACGGCATTTGCAGAGGTCGTTTTCAGTAGGGGAAGAGAAGAAAGAAAGAACTTAAAACATGACAGTACAGCGACCCTCAACCATCCTGGCTGCTCCAGAATGCCGTCGTTGCACGCATATACCACTTCAAATCAGCCCGGCACCGGGCTGGCGTCTTGTTGTGCCAGAGCCTCCAGCTCCTCGATCCCCAGAGACTTGTCCATGGCGGATGGTATATCGAAGTTCGTCTTGGCAACCCGCCTGGCCTTGCGGCCGCTGCTTTCCGTGACCCACGGTTGTGCCGTATCTGCATCATCATGCTTCCAATGTCTACGGGGGATCAGCAGCGAGAGGATTTCGGTGTAAACTTCCGGACTTTCTAGGCCTCATACAACGCCGGCAGCTTTCCCGAGAGCGGAGGCCATGGTCCAGAGTAACGTTTTGCACGTGTGATGCAACGGTATGATGACGTTGTAAGCGGGTGTTATCCTTGCAACGGTCATATTGGTGAAGACGGGGTCTGCACTGAGCCCACGGAGAAATACCTGGATGAATGCGCTGTAGAACAGGACTAGCAACTTCGCGGGCCACGGTGGTAAGACAATGGCGGTGGCTTTGGCCCAAAGCGACGGAAGCTGCATTCCGGCACCGATAATGGTCGTGGATAAGAGCATAAAGTATTGCTTCAGGGGCGAGCGTGTTGATGCGAGCCAGCTAGAGAGGGCGTCACAGCACGCGGAAGAGGGCAATATCGACGACAAATACGGAGAGGGTCACGTTTCCCGGCTGCGGCGGGATGCTGTAGGCGTGAACTCGGCTATAATTCATGTAGCGCTCGACGATGATGTCCTGGACACCAACGGTGAGAGGGAGAGGATCGTCGATATGATGGCGGAGGAGCGACGGAAGCTCGTCGAGGATAGCAAATAACGCATCACACATCACGCATCACGCACGACAATGAATGCGTCGGCTGGGAGCCAAAAAAAGCGAGTGAGAAGGCCTCGTTGCGTGAGAAGGTGCCCGTCTGGAATTGGCAGAAGGAGCGGCAACGACACCAACAGCAGCAGGGCGATGCCGGAGGGAAGACCGTCGTTGGAGGCGGGAAGATATTGATGGATTCATCGACAAGGCAAACGTGCTTGACAGACTGTGGAAGATGGTCGATATCGGCACCTCATTATAAGAGTTTTGGGGACATTGAGACGAGCTTTAGGTTTTGTTTTGGGATGAGAGCTTCTTTATATTATCGTCACGGTTCCTTGCGTTGTGCTGCCGCCCAAGTATGCCAAACTGCCGAGCATATTGAATTGATGACTCAAGTCACAAAGAATACTGCAACAGTCGGAATTCTTCTCAAGGAAGTCAAAATTATGCGAGACCTACCACCAACAATGTCCGAGATCGACATGACGCATCTGAGAGCGATGACATGTTGCATCAGCCAATTTCTTCGCAATAGCTCCAAGGAGAAGCTGGAAAGATTAGCGAGGAGACTACAGAGAGTAATGAATAGAGTATTTCGGGGATTAAGGACGAGAAGATAAGGATTGCGGAAAAGAATGATGAGAAAGAGTCGAGGGCGGTTGCCTCCGCAAGCGATCCGGATCGGAGGCTGATGCATCCTCCGCTTCACCAAGCCAACGTGGAAGACTCGGGAAGTCGGTAGACTTGGACGATATCAAATTCAAGGAGTATTATGGTCCACGAGGCCGGCTGCGTTGGGACCGGCCCTTATGAAGTGGCCGAGCGACTTTACGACATCATTCATTACCTTGAGTTGATCTCTGCACCCAACAGACATCAAAATTGTGTGTTTGACTTCTATGAAGACTCTCAGATAGTATCTCAGGTTGTTTGAACATTTTGAGACCACTGAAACGACTATGGAACGAGTGTTGGAGCGATAACGCTGGATGATCAGCGGCGTTCATGAAATTGCTGGAGGACCTTGGTGAATATGGATAACCTCAGTAGTGGAATGTAATGCTGCCCGGGAGTTTATCTTGTGACTAATATAAATGTTTTCTCTGGACGTTTGATTTGTCGCTTATCAACTCTTGTGACCACATTGATGTGTGTGAACTTGCGGAGGGGTTTTCTATTCACCATTCGGCCATAGATAGCCGACCTCGGCTTGGGATGAGAACCTCATCGAAAGAACAGTTCTGGTTGCTTTCTCAGTAAGCTTCGTGCCGCTTCTTGAACACTTAGGAGTAGCGGTTCTCTCCAACCTTTTATATCACGTAGGAACTCACGGTATCTGTATGAGGTTGGAGAAATGCATCATCTTCTACTCTGAAATGGACTCTTTAGCTATGCCCAAAGGCTGCAGAGACAAGCCCTCATCAATCGCGGATTTACAGCGCAATTCCCTGCTTTCTAGGCCATTCTTAAGATGCATTCCTTTAACGAGGTTGAGAATTATTACACTTATATTCCTATCTCTATTTAGTTTATTATATAGCTTATACTTTATATAGCTCTTATATCTACTTAATATAAAAAGTAGTATAATATAAAGTATTAATAATATCTTTAATCTATATTAATATATAGTATTATATAATAATAAGTAGAATCTCTATAGCTACTAAATAGATTATTAAATAGTAATATTAATAATAATAGATTTAGCTAATAAGGTACTTAATTATTAAGGTTAATAAATACTCTATAATATAAGTTATATTAAATAGATAATAGCTTTAATTAATAGGATATTTAACTATTAAGGTTATTAAAAACTTCATAATATAAGTTATATTAAATAAATAATAATAAATAAAAGCTAATTAAAGTTATAATAAAAGTCTTAAAGATTTATTCTTTTTATAATATTAATAACTTAAATCTTAATATAATATTAATAATAATAATAATATTAATATATTATAATAATAATATAGAAAAGAAAAGTCTTAAAAACTTATTTAGTTATTTAAAAGCTATTAATAATATTTTCTTTTTTAAATTTCTTTCTATAAATCCTTAAAATAAATAGCTTATTTAATAGTTTATTAATTATTTTAAGGTTTAAAATAAATATAATAAAGCTTAAAAGTATATTATTACTTTATATAAACTAAATATATTATATTATAATTATTCCTCTCTAGAGATTAAAGTTATAATATTATTTCTAATAGAGATAAATATTATTAAGAAAAGCTTAATATTATAATATAAAATATACTTTAACTATATATTATAAAGAGTTTATAATCTCTTATTAAATTAATAAGTGATAAGTTAATTAATATTAAAGTTTTAAAGATATTTATTAATAAAATAGAACTATTAATAATATTTAAATTAAATGAAAAGAATTATTACTCTAAATAATAATATAGAGAGAGTAATAAAATAGAGGAGGTTAACTAAATAAATAAGACTTAATAAATATATTAGATTTAGAGAATAATTAAATTAATTAAGTTATTATACTTTTTATTCTTCTAGTAAATAGTAATAGCAGTAATTATAAAAGTAACTTTATAAAGATAGTAGTTAGCTAGTAGCTATCTTATATTCCTATCTCTTTACCTAGGACTCCATTCTTTTAATAAATTCCAATCCCACACGCAGACTTCCACACAATTCAAGCTGAATGGTCCGACACACCAGATCAAGCGGATGAATACATAGTCAACCCAGAGTTTGGAATGATCGAAGATGTTGAGTAATATTCTGGACCGAACTTTCTGGGGCCACCTGCTGAGCCTGGTTCACGCCGAGCCCGGGTGGGCCAATAAATCGGCACTGTGACCCCAACCGGGCGGTGCACGAAGGCGGTGGAGCCGCCCGCGGTGCTTCACGGTCCGTCCTATCTGCCGACCACTACACATATAGAGGCACCCATCGACCTGCCCGACTCCAGGTCGATGGAATATCGTCCCAGTAAGGTTCAGCGCGACACCCTTATGCACTCCGGCCACGAATGCGTATTATCTGGATCCTGGTATCGCTTCTGTAATACTGAAAGCGTCCACCCCCCTCCGGGTCACAACCATCCGGACTCGAAGCAGAGTACCGCACTTGTGATGATCTCCACATCCACTACGATACATTCCGTCAGCCAGCCATTAGTTCCAAGGAAACCTGCATAGAAGTTTCCCATGAAACATGACCCGTCGACAAAATCGATTTCTGGCCGCTTCGCTTGAATAAGGCCCAGACTCGGATCTTTCTCAAGGCCGGGCAAGATACGTTCTTTCTTGGAGAAATTATCATGAAATGATTGGTCGGACGTCTGACCTCTGACGAGCTTTATTCGGACGGGAAGGACCACTTCAGGTTCACCAGAACCACCCACTTGCCGACAATTCATCATGATTGCAACTGCACTTTGTCGATGTGTAAAGGCTTCCTTCTACAGACGACCGTTTCCCACGATATGAAGTCGACATTTGTTGCTTGACCGCACTTCCGTTGTCAACTCCTCTCCGATATACCCCAATCCTTCTTTTCGCATATAAACTTATGTCGGTTTACGCACATACCAGACCAGCAGAGGCTGCAATGCTACAATCCATTGTTCAAAGTCATTCCAACGACAGGAGCAGCGCAGCTTTGGACTAGAAGCGGCCTCTTCAACACGACACACCGTCATCCGACGAACGTCACGGCTTTCGACAAAAACGACCCCGAAGCCTCTAGGAGCTCCAAACCCAACAACACCGAGCTGGACCTCCTAGCACGACTCCCGTCGACTCGAGTCGACCCAGCACCAAGCCACATATCCTTCCCATCAGCCACCTCAACCACCAGCGTAGACCACCGCATAACGGTGCCACTTCTTTCTCCTCTCGGAATCAACGCGCCTGGGCATCAAAATCTAAATCTCTCAGACTTTACATTATGAACCGCTTCCGCTCCCTCTCCCTGAGGTAGTCACATTCTTATGGGGTCTCTTCCCAAACCTCCTGGCAACCCCATCACCACCTGCCTTATGCTTTCTCGGCACCAGCTCATGAAAGATACAGCTCCCTCGCCTCATAATCCTGCAACGTCGCGGTCACGAGCACCGTCGTCCCCCCGCGCGACCTCATCGTCCAGGTGGATGCATTATCTTCCTCCTCCCTCGTCCTTCTCAAACCGAAGCCCCGCGAGCAGCAACCCATGCGACTGAACCCAGCCGCCCTGCTGGAGGGCGCGGCTATGCTTGGTCAACTGCTCGACGTGCTCCACGTTGTCGGCGTTTGTTATCAGGCAAAGGGCGTTTTGTTGCCGTTGATGATATTTGGTGTCTCGCCGCGGCGTATCCAGACGAAGAGGCCGCATGAGAAGAGGAGGAGACGGTGGCTACTGTTAGTCAACGGCGGCGACACTGGCTCCGGCTTTGGAGAAGGCATTCAACTCGTCGTGCCGTCGTTGAAACCTCCGTTCAAGCTGCCCGCGGCCATCGCCAGCTACGAGAAGAACCTGCAACGTTCCCGACCCCAAGACAAGCAGCGCTTCGATCTCACAGGAAAGGCGAGGGTCGCGCCGTTGCTGCCGCCGCCAAAAAAACGTAGTTCCAGGACGCAGAGACGCAGAGATCAAGATTCAAACCAGCAAAGCGTCAGTAGCAGCACGCCACGCAACCAAGACGGCCATTTATTTGTTTATGCTCCTCGGCGCCCGATTACTGAACCAGATGACGTGAGCATTTCTGCTCTCCGCCGCCGTGTCCATCGTTGCGCACACTTTTGGCGCCGTCTTGACCCGCTGGCTCCAGAGCTGGCTCGAAAGTTTGCTTCGCTGGCGTTCTTGGTCGTCGTCCATCTTGCCCGCGCAGCCCACGGAGCCAGCAGCCGCCCTCACGTCCGCCACCTCGAATCTGACAACGACGGCACTCACGACCATTGAGGCTCCGTTCCAAGACGCCGTGAATCTCGCAGGCGGCATCGAGCGGGCTACCAAACATCTTTCCGTCGCCCTAGAGAACATGCAGCTGTTCGAGATCCCTCCCGTGGCGTACTTCCTAAAGGGCCTCCTCGCAACCGCCACGGACTCCACCAATGCGGTGGCAATGGGCATCAGGAGCTTTTCCGGGTATCTGGGCGCCTGGTCGAGCTCAACGTCAAGTGGACGGGCCGCCTGGAAAGACAGGTCCGGACCGAGGACTTCGTGGTGGAGACACTTGGAAACTACTTGCTGCATCATGGGCGAGAAAACAGCAGTAGCGGGATGATGGCGGCCAACGTTGCCGCCCGGTAAGCATTGGATTCTCCTGCGGCGTCTCGTTGCGCGTCGGTGGCGGCCTCTCCCAGAGTTGCTAGCCGAGACTTGCCCCCATCTCGGTACCTCTGCCTCAGTGATCCGCAGGACCTCGACGCACCACAACGAGCCCCTCGAGGTCATGCTCGACTCCGAGCGCTTGGCGAGACCTGTTTTAGAAGATGTGAGGCTGGCATGCAGATGGCTTGCTGGCGGCTGTGGACGGCTACGTGTGCAAGATGGATGCTGCGACCTGCCTGATGACGCGGGCATTGAGGCTTCTTCGCTCGCTCTGAATGTACGGGATGGAAGGAAGATGCGGCTCTCAAGAGAGTATTATCCAGACAAAGCTCATGAGAAAGGCATTATCCTAAGGAGTATATTGCTGAGAAACTGGGGACGATTAAATTGATCCGTGGGAGTAATTTCTCGCTTTGTAACTTCTTCCTGGGAGGACAAGCTGACGGGTAGCTACAGGTGGATAGGTCGGCCAGGGATCCAAGCTTCTCTGCAAACATCGAGAAACAAATTTTTTCAAATGCTCAATAGAAGCAAACATCGGAGAGAAAGAGAAACAGCGCGAAAAATGAACAAAGAGACGATTCACCCGCAATCCGTTGCATACCTTTGGTTGCCACCCGACCCTTATCGTCAACCTCTTACTGGCCAACCATGAACCAGCTCTCAGGAATTCGAACCCAGATCCAGACGCAATCGTTCACTCGCGACACCGAATTGCCATCTCATCGAAAACTTACCCAAACTCCGACCGTACTTCAAACCGCCATTGTCAGCGCCGACAGAAAATCTGCATGAATCGAATACGGAAACGAGCGGCCATGCCCAAGATGCCTTCAACAGCCTGGGCTCCGAAGTTGGCATGGCAAGGCAACTCATCAAACGAAAATAACACGCCAACATCTCACCTGGCGACACCGACGCCTACCACGACGGCCACGACGACCATGACATGTACCTCGACCCCGATGACGACTTCCTCCTGCGGCCCATCGAGATCTGCATCTACGATGCCTTCGTGCCCGCCTAGACCGTCCCTTACCCTCTACCTCAACAGCCTCGATCGCACGACGTTATATTCAACGCCGCTGGGTACATCTACCCGGACGCTACTAGGAGATAATTCTGAGTGAGATCCTGTCCTCAGCTGCCACGCCACTCGCCAAAAGAGATCCTCAAAACAAGACAGATTCGGTCACTCTTCCTGACAACATGATGGCCTAGGACCGAGCACCGCTTCACATCTCGGCGTCCGCACTATTACGAGCACCGCCCCCGTTGGTCTCACCATCGTCTCCTCCCTCCTGCGCTTTCTACGTCTCCTGTCGCCTGCTGCCGAGCGTCTCGCTCGCCTCATGTGGCCCGACTCAGCAGGGGACTGCCGCAGCCCCGTCAATATCCACCACACAGCCGTTGTTCTGTCCGTTTTCTCCGACCTCGTCTCCCTCGCCGATGAATGGACCGCGGTAGTCCAGGCCCTCGCTCCAGTCCTCATACTACTCTCAACTCCGCTGTTTATCGACGAAGAAGACCCCAACGATCCAGAAATCCTCTGCACCACTCCCTTCTACCTGCGGGCCATGGCTGAGCTCACGGATAAGGTCGTCAAGAACGCTGCCGGCGAGCTGCCGCACGAGCGGGCCCGCCGTCACGCCGCCCGCCGCCTGGCCTCATCTATGGGAAACTCGTTGACGGCGGCAAGGACATCAGGGACCACGCTGGACTCTACTGGATACCTGGCGCCGCTAAGCGACTCGAAGTTGCATGGCGCAGAACGCGACAACTCGTACTAGATGCCGATACCGCTGAGAACTTTGTCGTCTTTCCTGCTTCCTTCACTTCGCCCTCCTCTTCCTCTTCCTCCTCCTTCTCGACCCCTGCTGGAATTTTCGATACTGATCTTGAACAACATCGACTGGAGCGTTTCGCATCTGAAGTCCGGACCACCGCCAATACCACCGGTCATTTCGGCGACCTGGCCTTCTCAGAGGCAGTGCATGATCTGCTTGGCCTTTACCAAGACATGTTAGTCGAGAGGCCAAATGACGACATCTGTACCTTGTTCGGTAAATGTCGTGTCAGAGACAACGACCAAATCCAAGATTTGGACAATCCGCACAACTAGATCAACCGAATCCATCCCGTTTGCCAACTCCCTTCGTTGTGACCAGCGTTCCCGCATCACTTCGCCGACGGCGAGGCCCCTCGCCTCGCCAGCTTCCTCGAACGGTCGCGGACGCTGAACCGCGAGGGAGCCTGACGAGGATACCGCGGGCCCAACCTGTATCGACGGGGTCAGCGGCACTTAGCCAGACATCACCCGAGAGAGCCGGACATCGTCTCGCTCACGCTCCAGGTGACGACGCTGAAGTCCGCTCAGTGGGCCTCTGAGACCCCTGCGACGAGTCTCAGGGCCGAGAGGGACCACACTCGGAGCCACGGCGGCCTGCTTCGTTTTTCGAGGCCCATACGAGGGCCGCGGCTGGCTCGGCATCGAATCTCGCGAAGCACTGGCCTTCCGGGCGTCACAAGTGACGTTCCCTACATGCGCTGCCTCGGGAGCGTGGTGGTTACGCACAAGCTGGTTCCCGATCCGCTGGGTCATTCAGACGACATCGATTTGTTGCATGTCCGGCTGTAGACCTCCACGCAGCAAGTTACGGCCGATTCGGGACCCATGACAGCAAGGAAGAACGAGGTTTAACGGCGCATCTGGCACGGCTGGCCCAGTACGTGGGCTTGATAGGAACGGGGGCGGGAGCGGGATCTAGGCAAGGTTTCCGAGGCTTAGCGAACTTTCATGCGAGAACTCTGCTTCTCAAGACTGGCCGGAGACAGATTTCTCCCCTACAATGTTAGTATGCCCTGTTAAGTCAATCGAAGACGGTATCCCGGCAGTAGAAGCGAATCAGGTCTTCATGCTGCATTCTTGACCGGAAAAAAATGCTTATATGCGTTAATCATGTTCTACTGAGTGAGAGTGAAGTCGTAATTTGCAGGAGCCCATACTGTAACTTCAGTCTCAACTTTGTAGGCACTCGCAGTTGTTAGACGCCAGACCGGAACGAGTACACCTACAGGTAGAAAAAGAACGAGAGAGCAAAAGGGAGAAGTGCGAGAATGGAGAAAGCGCTCCGCGCAGAGTAGCAGCATTCTTATTACTCAATGACTGGCCACGGGGGCTTTCGGCTATGCTCCGGAGACATCCAGATGGTTTTGAGAGAACTCCGTCTTGACGGCAGCTTATCACACGAAGCCAGCTTACCAGATCATCTCTCTTCCAACATGGAGAAGTCCAGTCCATGGCAAAGGCATGGATAGAAGACGCGTGGCAAGCTCATGCCATGGAAGCGACGGACAGGATGACGCTTCTCGGGTTTCAAATGGCCACTGGGGTGTTGGTATTCTTTTGCGATGTGCTGGAACCGTCATTGAGCATCCAAGTCGCCTGGATAGACGGAGGAAGTGGAGCCATTTCAGCAAGTTGCTCAATGGATTCGATTCGGTTTAGGAATAGCACCGTCACTGCGGGCATTGGCGATGTTGCTGGCAAAGGGGCAATGCCGGTCGGCATGTGCCAGATTCGGTCGCGCAGACTGGTTCGCTGGACGATGCAGCTACATGTGTTTGATACCCTTGCTTGAAGTATGCTTCTTTGACGGCAATGGTTGTCCAGGTTGAGGATAGTTGGAGGAGACCGAGGTGCGTGGTGGAGGGGTTGTGGGGGTTGCCATGGTTGGTGAGCTGGCCTTGACTTGAATACAGTGGTTGTGGATGTGTAGAAATAGCCGATGGGATGCCGTGAAGAAGCGATTGCGTCGAAGTAGATTTCAACTGGCTCTTGGACAAAGTTGAAGACTGTCTCTGGCTTGAATCTTTGCCTGGTTCTCCGCCCAAGCCAGTAGCGCTTCCAGTTGAGGATGGAGCAGCACAATAGGCGTAAATGCTGGTTTCATAAATAAGACGGCTGAATCGTGAAGGTGACTGATCATCCTGGACTGGGGCGGTGCGGCGTAGAGAAAGTTCCAGCATGTGAGGTTTCTCTTGTCGATTCACTTCCTTGTGACTTCGCAGTCTCCACGATCGATCCCATTGCCATGATTGTGTCTAGGGGGCCTGTGAGCAACCTTCCGGGGCTCGATTCCGTGTCGGGCTCATGAGTGTCTTCACCCTGCCAGATATGTGCTTGGTCTGGATTCGAGTCAGTGATTACAAACAGGAGCTGTACATAGGACTGTCAAACGGACATACCATTACTCGTTGACCCAACCAAGAACTAAGAAGGCAAGATCTTGGAGGCAAAGGCAAGCGGCGAGGTAGCAGCCGACTTGGGTGCATGGGAAATACTTTTTGTATTTGCTGCGATACCGCCAGAAGACTGGCAAGCACCCGAGCTATCAACCCACACGGAACAACTGGTCCGTCGTGATCAAAACACAAGCGACAAGGTGAAATTTGCTTATTGACTACCTGCCAAGCGGGATGAGGTGTTCCGCGTCCTAGAAGCCCATGACCATGACGCTCAATAATGAATGATCGGACCACACCAGGGAGCAAACATTGTTTGAATGGGGAACATATCCAGATGGCCAACCCCGCCGCATCGGAAAGCACTCTATCCAGTGTTTACTGCGATGCGGTCCAACATCTGACGAGAAGACGCCAACCTGGCAGAATCTAGACTTGCCTTCCCTTGGTTCGGCGGCGTATCCCCTCCAACTAAGAGACAGTTCATCCCCACCACCTCGGGAATGTAGACTCATAGCCTCCTCTCCAGTCTGTAAACGCCGCACTAGGCGTGTACCCCGTCGCAGTCCTTTGAGGCATGCTCACGACCACCGCACCACATCCACCTGCAATCCGGCCTCTGAGGCGTGACAGAAAACGGCATTGATGGAGTATCAATGAGGAGGAATGGAGGACGGGTATTGCTTTATGCCCGCGACTGCCCTAGACGTTGGGAGTCGCGAGCGGGAGCCGGCCGTCGTTATCATCGACAACCGTCTGGGTGCAGGAGAAGGCCTGCTGGTCGGGAAATGGTGACTCTGTCGATGATGCAATCGGGCGATCTCCTCCTTTGCAGACTGCGGAATGGTCAACCGTCTTCAATATACGAGCCGCTGACCATCCGTTTGGTTTATTGCGTGGCTTGTACTTGGGGTAGCTTCTACATCTGAGCCGCTGGCCATTTTGTACCCTGTTTGTCGGTAGTGAGCGCGTTGTTGGGAAGGGTAGTGAGGTTCGGGTTGTTGGCGCTGCCGGCCGCCGCGGAAAGGTTCGTCGTGGACAGGTTCCTGCACAGACGCGAGTTAGCTTCACACGCTCAACATGTGCGCGTAAGATGGCTGCTTGGTAACGCTCACGGTTAAGGTATGGCAGACGGCCGATGTTGTTCCTGAGGGCCGGACTTCCTGTCGTCAGCTTCTCCGCTGTGGAAGTAGTAGAGTGCTATCCATTGTGATTGGTCGCGACATTGCCCGGGTTGCTGGTCTTCCTGATCTTGCTCCCAATATGTCGAATGAGTCCCTTGAAGACTGAGCGGAGCCGGTCAAGCCCTGGGTGCAGACGGAGATCGAGACATCGCGAAGGTACCATGGTGATGCATGCATGCTGGTGCTGCAGCCAGTACCAGCGGGCGTCGGGCTAATCAACCTTGCATTCGACCAGCCTGCGAACAATGATGCCTTGGGATCGTCGACCAAATCTGGTCTTCTGGATGTTTCGAGTGTCGGAAACGAGCCTGTGGCAAAGGAACTTGGGGTAGAGTCAGCTGCGAACCGAATTTCCTTGATCTTCTCCATGACCAACTTACCTAGGTAGTCGTCAAAGTCTGCCATTGTGGTCTTTGGACTGCGCGCGAGTGAGTGTTGACCAAATAACAATACTGGCGCTTCTCTCGTGTGACGTGTAGGGTCGTCGGCGTCCATTGCGCCTGCTCGAGCAAACGGATGCGTTTGGGCGCTGATCCGTTTGTTCTCGAACATGCCAAAGCCTCCTGGCCCTAAAACCTTCATCCCTCTATCGGTCTCGCATCGCACTCCCGCCACCGTCGATGAAGTGCCTCGTTAGAATCCACCAATAGAGTCGCCGAGCCGGACAGCAGTCGGAAGGGAAACTTCTGCATGCAAACAGCGGCTAGACGTAGCAGCAACTCTCCATGAATGAGAACCGCACTGCTTCAGCTGCCCGCGGTCGCTCTTAACAGCCCCTCTTGGTACTCTGGACCAGCTCGACGACCTGTGTCTCCGAACCATTGAGGCATCCAACTCAAGACGTGAGGTCTTCGCGACGTAGGCGGCGTGCGGCGTGGGACTTGGCGGGGTTGATATTGCCGACCTGCTGGAAGTGCGTTAATCAGCTGTCGCGTCGGTGTGATTGTGGCGAAGGGCTGCTGGAGCTGGTTCCGGCACCACTTGCTAACAGGGTTGAGAGCGCCTCGACGGCCTCGGGAGAGCTTGAAGCAAAGTTGATGAAGATGGCTCCGGAGGCTCTGTGGACCAGGATAGCATTGGTACAGAGCAGCAAGGCGACGGAACATCTGGCACGAGTGGTGTCGAAGGTAGTGATGTTGGCGCCTTGCAAGAATTAGGACATGGTTGGCTCGAGGTAGTTGTGCAAATGCTGTTTCAATTCCCTTTTCAAGCTGTTCAGAGACGGTCGATTCGATCTATTGTGTCCTTCACCTGGTCCTCTGCGTAATTGTGGTGACCGATGTCCTTGGTGATCTGGACATCTACGGCATGCCCTGTAATGGCAGCACCACTCCAAGCCCTGATAGACGCCTCGCGTAGACTTTCACTCTCATCGAGCTCCGCCCCTCCCGCCAACTCTGGTTTTGACGATGAACCCATTCGTGGTGTGCGGCGGCTTTGCGAGTAGATTTGGCATAGCGATTGTGATGTTGGCGACTAGCAAGCATATCGAATAGTGCGGGGGAAGAGCCGGGCGCGAAGACAGAATCGTGTTGAGGTCACCGTTGGTTGCTTGGATACGTCCTGGAGCGCCGCAGGAAGACAGAGTCCCAGGGAGATTCGTTGTCTGATCGGTGCGTCGCCGTCGTGCAGATCGGAAAGAGCGGTTCGGATGTCGGAGAGCTCTGCAACTCATTCTGAGCCTGGCCGGGCATACATTAGCGCTGAGCACAAGAGGACGAAGGAGATGCTGGAGCTACGTCACCCACCCTTCTCTCGCGACTGGACGTCTTGCGATGAAACAATCCCATTACCATTACCATTCCGGTGCCCGCGAGACTGGATCTGGCGTATCTTAGCCTTGTTGTGGTCCCACGGTGACGTGAACGCCTTGGTGCCCTCAAGTTGTGTGGGCCAGACGGAGGAGTAGGAGAAAGTAGCGGCTGGGGACGGCGGTGGCGGGTTACCCATGGGCGCGAATTTCGCCGGCACTTGACGCACATCGTTAGAACCGCCGGTGTTTGGGGCTGAGATTTCTCGAGGTGGAGCTGAAAGGCACTCGTAGAATATGGCGGATCAGTGAATAGCCGCCCACCGTGAAGCTCCGGGTTCGAGCGAGGGTTGATGCGAGGACTGCGATTCGCGCTTCGGAGGCTGGAGTCGTGGCATTCCGGGAGAGGTTAGTGGGAGTTGGAGCGACATGACAACTCGCGAACGTCCACGAATGTCAAGTCTGCGCGTAGCGCTGGCACTGGCGGGGAGTGAATACCAGCACATACGGCAGACCTTGTCAGACTGCATGATGATCCGAAGAGGCCGAGAGGCGACCGCTTCGCATGCTTCGGTCGGCCGTGATGGGGAGAGCATCAGCGAGGTCTCCCTGTGGAAGGGCGTGGGGCGCAGCTGGCCGAGAAGAAGGGAGGCGAACGTTATGTCTGGAAATCGAGAGGCGGAGGTGCTGACGGCAGCGGATGTGTTGGATGACCTTTGCTCGGTGTGGTGATCCATCCCTTGGTGAAGACTGTCGCTGCAGACCCAGCTTTACGCCCGTGTTCGTCCGATCATTCGAGACCCGTTTGGTGATGGAAGGACGCGGCTGGAACGAGCCCGATGCTCGACGGCGAGAGGTCGGTCGAAGGCGGTTGTCGAGGAAAAGAGCGTGGCCGGAATGTGCGAGTATATCGATCGAGCGAGCTCTATTCACGAACAGCTTTGCTCCAGGCCTCAATCGTGTTCTAGGGACGACCTCACATCTGCATCCTTCCTTAGGTTAGTGGAATTCGCGGAGGAAGAGGTTGAGAAACGTTTGGGTAGGTACCTTAGGGAATGGGGACGGAACTGGCCGAGGACGGCAGGTGCAATGCATCACGCCGCGAGCTGCTCGAAGACGAGGGAGAGGCTTTGGGTGGTTGATGATGGTGGGGTCGAATCGGAGTTGGCGGTCAAGCAGCAGCCGGAATGAACATGTACGCAAGCCGGGCATCGAGCTCGAAGCGAGAGCATCCACGCGTCATTGCCGCAGCTCTCGGGTCACTGAGTCCCATCTCAAGTCGCGAAGCAAGAAATTCGCGACAACAACAACCAGACAGAAGTAAACAGGTGTGCGGCCATGCAAATGCGTTTTCGGTCTTGGTTGGCAGCCGCCGGATGACGCGCTTTAGGTAGGACCGGCCCCGCGGGAACCGGGATAACGCGGTATTGCTCGGTTATAAGGGTGGCTGCATTGCGCCGTATTGCAATTGTAGTACCGGCCCCAGGAGCTGCATCGTTTACGTAAGGTAGCGTAGGTTTTGGGCGGCTGACATCAGCCGAGCCTGAAATTGGCATCCTTTTGGAGTTCACCGGTCCACAGGCATCAACGTGTAAGGTACTGAGGTGCGTAAAAACGCAGCGGAACTCAGAGCTGCCACCCTGGGTCCCTGGCCTTCCTACCTTACCTTACCTAGGTACCTACCTAGGTATCCGTACCTTGAACACGTGAAGTGGCTGGGTCAAGAACTACGGCGGGACGGAAGTGGAGCTCTAAAAGCCCAAAAGGACACCGTTTGAAACCGATGAACGGTGGGTACATGCCTGCAGCCCTGACGCCTGACGAGTTGCTGCACAGGCCAGGTACCCTGAACAGATTGAGGATGCACGCGAATTTACAAGTACCTATCCCACCAGTGTCCGTCCTGCGCTCGGTCAGGAACCTACCTACTGCGACGCGTGGTCGCGTCTTCTCCAACCCAGATCCACGATGAATTCTTTCCGCACCACAGCTTCTCGCTCAGTGTAATTTTCCAGATTGACTTGAAGAGTGACCTTGAGAGCTAGGAATTGGGTTGGAGGCGATGTCGAGGCGGGGTGAATTGGGCTAACTGTACTTTAGAAATGAAAATCATCTTTCCGTGGCCTTGACCTGTGGCTTTCAGAACCCGTGGTGACTTTGGATCTAGGTATCCAACATTAAGGTACGTAATGAACTCAATACTCGTTCTGAGCCTCAAATCATCCAGTGTTTATCTGAATCTCATTATTTCTTCATTAATTCTCAATATCTCTGTGTTGATTCTCTTTTTTCTTTGTCAACTTTCTTTGCTTCTTTGTTCAATTAATTCTCTTTGTTCCACACTCAAGTCTCTCTGTTTCCTGCCGAAGTCACTAAATATTTCATCTCCATCCTGTTGCTGCTTATCTAAGTCAGCTTATCAGTTATCGATAAGTCAATGCTCTGTCATCCCATCACGTGCACTCAGATGCAGCAGTGCACGGACCAGTGCTACTGTTCACCACAGCAACATCGGGACAAAGACGTCAACAAAGCCAACTGAAAGACGGCGCGCGTCACTCCGTGAGCAACTTCACCACTCCACCTCACGCGCATGCCGTCGCTCACCACCTAATCGTCACAAATCACCCACAATGCAGGATTTGGTCCCAATTCTCGCCCGAGTTGGCATCGCACTGCGAGACTTCAATGCAAACAAACAGATCGATGCCCAAGCCTTCCTCAAGGAACACTCTATCCCGTACACGACCTCAAGCGCCACCACCGCGACTTCAGATGCTGCATCCCAAAAGGTCTCGTGGGTCTCATCTCCGTTGGATGTTGCATACCTCGAAGCCCTCATCCCTCCGTCCAACTCCACGAACGACGTTCCGAGCCCATCAAACCACGCCCTCAGCCCCCCAAACGATGTTCGGCCATCGGAGGGCGCGCCATCCTTCAGCGCAACAGAATGGGCAGAGGCTTTTCGAGACACCGCCAGATGCCTCTCAAGAGAGGCGACTCGTGAAGGCTCCAGTGCGCTGCCGTCTCAAGACTTCGCCCGGCCCCGATTCCCGGATACAAACAGCCCATGGGAGAACTTGCTGGTTATTGGCGCCGACGAGTCGCCTGCCTGGGAGATGATCGCTGTTCTCGAGACTGCCCATCATCATGTTGGCTGTCTTGTGGCCGACCAGAACCCAACAAAGGCGCTGTCATCGGATGGGATCTTGCGCAGCGAGCTCCTCAGCATGCTTGTCCTCCTTCACTGGCGACTCAACTTGCTCAAGAAGCCCAATAGTGGTGGTCGTGATCCCTCGGTACGTCATCTTCCCGCCGACTCCTTTCATTGGCGACGAACAGTGACTAACTGGTCTTAGGTTACGGTAACGACGTTTACGAGAGCCCGCGTGCGTGTCAGCCAGGCCTACATCGACTGGTCAAACGACGAACCCATCCTTCGAGTGGTCAACCGCTTGGACAAGTCTCTCAAGGACTTGACCGGTGCAAGTGACGCTGCCAGGGCATGCTGGCTTGATGTTTTGTCATGGCTTTGCTTTACTTCCACCGAGAACGATGGCATACGGGTGGAAAAGCAGGGACAATCTGGTCATGGCTGGCGGTTCGAACAACCTGCAAAGGATCGGGTGGTCTCTGGCTCGAGCGATTCCTCTGGAACAAGTGGTACTGGCAGCAGTGGCAGCAGCAGGGCCCAACACGAGGTTGCGTCCCCTACATCATCGGCTCCCGGATCGCCACGTGTCGATGCGAAACAAAGCTTGGCCTAAGGACCTTCCACGGTCTCGCGTCGGGATGGGGGCCCCAGAGGAGTATGGTTCGCTTCATGCAATGCTACGGTGCTCGACACAAGCGAGGCTTTACGCGCGTTGGAAGAGGCCACAAGGGCCCTACGTGTTTTACAATGGCGGTCGGGTCGGAGTTCAGGCTTTGTGAGTTTTGTTCGGAGGCACATTATGATACCCGGTTTGTTAGATATGAATGATTGTCTTTTAGGGATTGGAAAGAGGCAGTCAAGTCAAGTCTTTGTCCATACATTGGTTCAGATACAGACAATGTGACGCTTGCTGTTCGACGTTCATCAAACAGCGGACGGCCACAGACGGAGATTATGTAATGTAATGCAGGGTATGGCGCCGTCACAACAATTTGATGCAGGTTTATTACCCCTCAGTCCCCGCAGCAGGTGAGCAGCGAACGCAGTAGAAACGGCAGCCATCTCAAGCCTCTTGGCTCAACCCCATTCACGGCGGCGACACGTGAGACCAACTGGGCGCAACCAACACACCATGTCGCTTCCAGGCACTGTTGATGCCTGGCTTTGCGAGGTGCGAGCAGAGGGCATTGCGAGTGCGAAGCTCGGCGATATCAAAGCCGATAAACATTTCTCTGGTTCCACGATACCCCACAAAGCGTTTCTTCAGCTCCGCGCCATCTGGCTTCCAGCGAAGGAATCCTCAACTGCTCCGGCTGACCTCGAAGCCGCCGACTTCTTCAACAATACTGACAGAGAGCTAGCCACATCCTGTCTCGACGCACACCCCTTGCAACTTCAGAACTTCTTCGCAACGGTGGAATCCTCTTATCCTGACCGGAATGTCATGGATCCATTCCTCCCCGCGACTCCAATACTTGGCAAGGCCAGACTGGGAACCCCCCCAAAAACAGACGACTTGGGCATGTTCGGGCCTGCATTTACATCGTGGCGCCGGTTGAAGCCCTTCAGCAGGCCGCAAAGATCACGTGGGGAAATGTCGCATTTCACACCGAAAGTAATGATGGGATTTGATCACGCGCTCCAAGAGAACCTCTTGATGCAACCTGTGTCCCGTTTGGACTTGAACAAGACCAAGTTGCAGCCGCGACAACCGGAAACACCGACAGCTGGCGGCAATCATCTGGCAGATGATCTCATCGCAGAGATTCTTGGGAATATGAGCCTTGACAAAGTTGTCGAAGATCTTGACACTCCGACCAAACCGACACGAGGTAGCAGACCAGCCGGAACGGGTCAACAAAGACAGCATGTCTCATCGTCGGCAGCAGTGCACGACACCGTCCCAGCAAAACCTGCGAACGAGAAGGTGGACAACGTCCCGTTGCATGAAACTGAAGATTTCGATGCGCCTGCTGTGCGTCTTGGCAGAACAGAGTACGAAGTGCAAACGTCCCATTTCTTTGTCACATACGCCGATACGCTCCTTGCCCACGCTCTCTCCCTCTCGTTTTCAAACTGCCTGTCCATCGTACCCGAGGAGCGACAGTATGGATTTGGCGAGGCCGCAACCCTACCCGTTCCGAAAGAAGAGACAGCAGCGCCATCATCATCCGGTGCTGTGAGAAAGAAAAGGCAGCGGTCGTGCCTGTTTGTGGCCTGTCCCGATGGTGCCGCCTACGTCAAACCAGACCATGGGTCCCGAAAGGCATTTCTTCACTTTGAGCTGAAGCCGTTCCGGAGAGATGGGTCAGCCAGAGCGTTGACTATTTGCCGCGAGGAAACCGCCGAGATAGCGGCTATTCTCTATCAGGAATACTGTAGTAACGGCAAGACCGAGAAACCGTAAGTGCATGTGTCTCGATTTACCTCCCCCCAAAGCTCTTCTTCTTCAAGTCAACTGGAAGGCTCTCTCCACCTTGACGGTCCGCCGCGGCACTTCTGCGCGCATCATCATATGCAGATGGTAATGACTGATATCTCGGCGTCGCCGGCTAGATGTAGACCGAAGGATAAGCCAATCCGTCGAATGATGCTGTCTCTGGACAGGGATGAGTATTGGTTGATCGTGGCAACCGTGGGGGCGAGGTACCTCGACTACATCAAGGACATGGAAGCGGCTGCTGTGGCGTCTGGAGACGTAGACATGGACCTGAGCGACTTCATTCAGTTCCAACCATACGGCCCATTTCGCGTGGGAAACTCTTGTCATATGAAATGGGTGAATACTGTTGTCACAGCAAGCGCATTGTCTCAAATGCAAGACACCACAGTGGGCCAGGGTCTGAAGAGGCGTCTAGAGGTAGATATTCTACGCCCACACGTCCTATCATCAAGAATAAGGTAGGAAGACGTCCCAAATCATCTAGAGCTACTAAATCCTGGACAGTATTTCACAACAAATTGGAAAAGACTTGAGAACAGTATGAGATATTGGATCAAAATGTTCGCCCGCTGCTTCTCATCCTTTCATAACGGAGCGCTCTTCTTCGTTCCGGCACCACCAGCCTTGTTGGAAAGGGCGAAGAGATGGACGCCTCTACAGATACGTTGGCTGGTCGATTATCACTGCGTGGAGCATAGGGTATATCCAGTGCCAAACACAAGTAGGTTCTCTCGCAGTTTGACGCGTCTACGGAAGCGTTCCTGACCTTGGCAGGCCAGTTCTTCATCGACAGATACTCCATAGACATTCCCGAGATGAAGCAGGACTCGAAGACTGAGACTCAGGCACCCTCCCTATTTGTGGGCATCCCGCGCTACAGCTGGGATCACTCGGTTCAAAGCTACATGTGGCCTAGAATGAGGCCAGCGTCGACAGGAGGCATCACAACCTCCTGGGCACCAAGGTCCTGGACACCTCGTGGCAAACCGCCACCGGAAGAAGATCGTCACTTGTGGGAGCAGTCCAGGCTCACCAACCACATGATCGGCGAGAGCATCATCTTCATCGTCTCGGGCTACATCGACATTGCCATCGGGACACTGTTCTAGCGGACGAACGTCCTGAGGCGCCTTCGGCGTCAGGGAGCAGACGTACTGGCCCCGCGACGTCCGGTTCGATCACGCTCTGGGCCTCGGCGACTAAGACCGCGACGTCAAAACTGCTAAGCCTGGCGGAACGGAGGGATTCAACATGGCATGAGTTCAAGATATCGTCCATCAGGTACAACCGAGCATACGGGCCTGGCCATCATCGTCCATATCAAGTCCAAGATGGCCGACGAACGGAAGCTCCCACCTCGCGACATCCCAGAGACTCGCCAGCACCTGGCACAAAACCATGCGCGAGATCGGCTACAGCTTCGGACCCGGCTTCCGAAGCGAGGCCGGCCACAGCCGCAACCGCGCCCTGGTGTCGCTCGGTTACCCGTCCCCGCGCTTTCGGGAGTCGGACTATTTGCTGTACTCGGCCTGTCTCAACTCGTGGAACCAGGCCGGATCCGCCTCACTGCTACTGCTACTCGCACTGATCGACGAACTCTCCATTTCAGTCCAGGCGTTCCCTCCGTTCCAAAACTCGCCCTTGCGAGTGCCCAGCACGGCAGGAAGGGCCGCAATACGGACGCGAAACAATACAAGTCCCACGTGGATATCTTCGACGTGGACAACGGACCTCTCGTCTTCTGCCTGAAGGGGCTGCACTACAACGCCCTCGATCACGCATCGGAGCCGCAGCTCCAGTGTCGAAATCGTTCTCCTTCAGGCCTGATGCCTCCCGACTCTGACTTGAAGCCTGGCCCAACGGCTGACCGGGCAGTCGAGCTGCGCAGAGCGCCATTCGGAGGTCGTACAGATTGGCGGGATGGGAGGTGCGTGAGGATGCATTGCCATGTTGCCGACAGAAGGCACCGGCTTTCCAGTCGAGTTTTGACAACAACATCTGAACGGCGACGTCAAAGGGCGAAGAGAACTCGATGGGACGGTCATCTATCGTCACTCGTCTATCGGAAACTGGCATGCACAACAGAATCAGAGTTTGTGGAGGTGTGCTAATCTGTATGGGAGCAGAGTTCCGGCTGCTGACTGACAAGCCCCGTTGCTCTTTCTCCGGGCTGTCGTCGGTGTTTTCGTGCGTCTCCTCAACCATGACTTTGGCCGGAGAACCAGCAAAATCGTCGTCAGAATGAAGAAGATGGGGAGCTTCGTTGCTGCGTCACTTGAATTGACCCTCTGCAGACTATGGCCCCCGGGCGCGTTCGTCACATTATCGTTCGAGCCGTTATCCGCCGGCGCGTTTGGCAGACATTTTCATGGGTTCCCCGATAAGAGAGCGAAGAGCGGCTTCTCACTGTTCTATCACTGCTCATCCCGGCTTTTCTCGTGCTCCGATAACTTCAAGTCATGGGCAGTTCCTCGGACAAGAGGGCTTTTTCATCGCACTCGGAGCCGGAACGGCGAAGCGCCGGATCTGCGGAGCCCGAAGGGGTATTTGCGCCGAGGCAGTTGCGTGCATGGCGGGAGCCTTGTCTTCTGGGCCTTGGCCTTGTTCATGGTGACACGCGTGAGCGCGAGATGCGTCTTGACGCGGGCAAGCTCCTCCTCTTGAATGTGAGGGTGTCGCAGGCTCTTGCGCGCCGCCGGATGTACAATGACCTGTTGCCAATTGCCAATGCTGCATAGGGATTTGGGTCGTCGGGTATAGATTTGACGGAGACGTCGCCACCGGCGGAAGATGATCACCACGGCCTGTTTCGTGGTCGTGCTCGTCCATAGGCCACATGTGGTCGGGGTCCTTGGGCTGCTGCGACTGCCTTCAGGGGCGAGTCTCTGCGGATGAACAGGCTGTCGTCCTCGGTGGCTGGTTGCGCAAGAGAGATCGCCGCGCTATCTGCGCATCCCTGGGCCAGCTGATGCTGCTACTACTACTATATATGTTGGTGCTCTGAACCCCAAGTCAAGAATATCTTGAGGTATGACTGTTGACACTTCTCTACAAACTCTAAAGCGAGGGCCTCAATGAGGGCAAGCTCGTGTTTGGTTTCTCCAGAGCTGACGCCGGTTCCGGGATAAGGAACGTCGGGAAACTCGTACAGTGTCTAGACCTTAATCGAGTATCGGTCCAACAGATCACGGTGGGTGTCGCTTATGCGTTCTTTCGAACCAGTAAGCTGATGTCTACCTAATTGTGGAAGGGTGTAGTGCAGGGACAAGTGTTGCGCGCAAATTTCTATCTAAGAAACCGTGGTATGGGGAGGAAGCATATTCAAGCTGCCATCTTTTGAGCGTTCTCCAGGTTTTACTATCGCTGGGCATGTAACTGTTGCCAGAATTAAACTGGCACGTCCAGCTGCGCCAAGTGGGTAGAAAGATTATAGGAAGTAGGCAGAAGCATCAGGGAGATTTCTCAATGACCAGCGGGCCGACAAGACGCTTCGTGATTCTTGCGGCGGTGCCGCACCAGGAGGGAACCTAGAAGCAAAACGAGAAGGGGAGCATGTCAACGAGCAGATGCTACGAAATTCAGCTCCACTACGGGGGCGATAAGAAAGGCAGTTGCGGCTCATAATAAGAGAAAAGGTTGACCGAGCAGAAGGGATAATATATCAACGTCGAAGGGCACAGTGCGGAGGGAGCATTCGTAGGGGCAGTAAAGGCAGAAAAGAGAGCGCTCCGAGTTTAAGACAAGGGGATCTCTCAACGACAAAGAAGAACCTCGTCCAAGGGGAAAATCTGCCATGAAGGCCTGCCTGAGGACGTGATGTTTCGCGAAATCTCACAGACCTGGGCCGACCAAACAAAGATTCCTGTCGATGAAAATGATATGAGATGGACCGACATAAAGCCGAACATTCCATTGATGATTTGAGAATGATCGGGAAGGATTAAACGTCACGAGATGCTATGGCTTGCAGCGGTCGAGAGAAGTGGGCAGGTTTACGCATTCCTCTGAATGAGAAGGGCCCCGGAAATATATGAGAAAGTAAACTTGCGACGGATCGTCCGCCTGTATTTGATATAATTATGAAACATCAGCCGCATTAGCATCCCAAAGTATTATCACCTTTTATGTCTTTATTGCCTGCATCAATCTTGTCATGCAAGCCAACACGCTCCGACCACCAGGTTTACACCACTCCAGCAGTATCCAAGTTCGGACCAATTAACCGTTTGAACCTGCCAAGACGGAACATTTGGCCTTCATCAACAGGCAGGTAGTGGCCACCGCACCGGCACGACGCCAGTAGTGTAGTTGTCGAGAAAGACAGAGAGACGAGCACGAAGAAAGCGAAGCCAAGCATTCAGCCGCGGTTGCAGTCATGCGGCTGGTCCAAGCCCTCCAGAACCATGCCCACTAGACCAAAGACCTTGATGCCTCGCTCAAGTTGGCAAGAGACGGTCAATCGAGAGAAACACTCAACCTCAAAGACCAAGGACTCAACCGCAGGCACAAACTGTCGTTACTTTGCACCTAGTGTGGCAGCGACAACGGCAACATGCCGCTCCAGGCACCATTACCGGAGCCTTCTTCCGGATAGTGGAAGAGAACGACAGTGGCCAGCGTGACGAAGGGCCAGAAGCTCCAGGCCATTGAGAAGGAAACTTCGTCAACTCGACCCCAATCGGTCTCGGCCTTTAGAGAATGCAGAAGGCGCTGGATGGTTGGTCACTTCAGTCCGTGATCCAAAACCTTCAAGGCTTCATCGCAGGACCGACGCATCTGGCAGTGAAGGGAGCCTGGTTCGTTCTCTTCTTCTTCATCTCCCGCATCGGCTGGTGGATAGTGACCTCGACCGTGGCGCTGGTGACCCCGTTGCTCTTGGCCATTGGCCTCGTTGGTTTCGTAACCGGTTGGGCGACGGCGGCCGGCTGGGTACTATCCCTAGTAGAGAGTAGCATGATAAACGTCTTCAAGGTTCTTGTGCCGGGCAGAAGCGAATCCGGCATCGCAAGCATCATCGCCGGCGGCGGCAGCGACATAGTTCCCACATCTTCCGTTGTGACCCTCACATTTCCCGCCTTTGGTTTTATACTCTCAAGTGCTCGACGGTGCTCGAAACCCGGCAAAAGGCAATGGCAGCCAGGGCATCTCGGTGCTAGACGTTGCTGAATTCTAGGTCTGGGTACCTGTGCAATTCGGAAGTCAAATCGTTGGCATCGAGAGTATCATCGCCAAAGTTCATACCAAACAGCAAAGCGCAGATCTATTGCTCCGCAACCTCGGACAGTACAGGCTGGCGAGTGAGCCTGATGCCAACTTGAACGCCGAGGCGAGTTGTGGTGGTCGAGCTACCTTTCCTCTCCTCTCGTGCCTGTTTACGAAGACATCTCCAAGGTCCTCTTGAGGACACCGCCACCGCTGACAGCGGAGATCTCGATGTGGGTTGACGACTTGGGGGCTCTGCTTACCGACACGAAGGAGGCGAGGCGGTCGCGCGTGGTCGAGCTCGTGCGGCACGACTCGAAGATGTTGCAGACGGTGGGGACGAGACGGCGCGCCACACCACGAACGTCGGGGAGCACGAGGCCCATCTGCAGAGCAGAGAAGCCTGGCGGCTGCAGTCGGATAATGAATAGGAGGTGACTTGTAGTCTCGCAGGTCAGTCAGCTGACGACCGCAAAGCAGGAGGAAAAGAATAATAGAACAAGCAGGCCGACCTGAGCTCGAGTATTGTCGAAAGTATTTACTTTAGGCCGATGCGCAGGGGATCTGGGAAGACGGGCTGATGGATGGCTTGGTCGAATCTCCCAACATGGTTCGCGAAAACCACACCGACCGCGTCGAGTAGTGAGCGTGAAAATATACGAGTGTCTAATCAGATGAAGACAGAATAGCGTGAGGCCGTCCCGCCATCTGCCTCGACGAAGGCCAGCGCGTTTGTCTCTGCACTCGTCTCCCGGGCGTCGAGGAGGAACTTCCAAAGGAATCCACGATGACAATAGCAATAGTGACAACGTGGACGAGACCGTCTTATCCGAGTCTCCTGCCGGTCAGCTCTAGGGGGACCGCATTTCTGAATCGCGTTCCATTTCGGCAAGGCCGGCAGCCAGGGGCAGCTCACGCATCCGTAGGCATGCCGTGTCCTGCGTCGCCTGGCTTTCAGCCGTGAAGTGGTTGTTGAATTCGTTCCGACCCGCAGGCGCCGGCGCCGGCATTTGTTCACATGTCTTTCGCACGACAATCAGCTCTAGCTCGATGGATTTGCTCGCCTCCTCTCGCATCAAGCTCTCGAGGCGTAGCGGTGCTCTCGGCCAAGACGTCGCTATGGGGCCAAGAAAGCCGCCTACCGAAGTCATGAAATCCAATGGATCCATCTGGCAAGCGATTCCATGCTTCCGTATGTAGCTCTAGTTGAGCGGAATAGTTGTCATGTCTTTGTTGTGAATTGCGATTGTGACCGTGTTCGTGGTGGTCGTGGTTGTGTTTCTGGTCGCAGTGGCGATTCGAAGAATCTACACTTGTTGTTGGCAGATTGACGGCGGTAGGCAGCATGTACGAATCGTAATTGTTGTCGTCGTCGCCGTTTTCGTCAGTTTCGTGACATTGGGTTCCTTCTCGACGTTATCCGCCCCGTCCTCGGTGTCTCCGCTGTTGCATGGGGGCGGAGTAAATCATACCCCATCAACATCGCGATTGAGAAGCCCGCGCGGCCCTGTATTCTTGGCTTCATGACGGCAGAGTCTCCGTTCCTGGACAAACCGTCACGAAGACGGAGGAAGGCGTTTTAAACGAGGGGATGGACTCTCCCCTCAAAATTGGCGCTCCGAGGCGAGCCGTCGGGTTAGATCAGGCACATGTGCCGAGCTTGGTTCCAAGTGCAATCTTGCCTCGACAGAGTGTCTTCTAATCGTCGGTTCGGGGTGTGTCGTTGCAAGTGCGCGAGTGAGGTTTCCGGAGAGAAGCCGCTGTGTGATGTAAATTAGTGAACGAGGACGAGAGATAGGCACGAACAACAGGGGCGGAGAGGAGGGAGAGTAAGACGGGCAGTGGGAAACCCAACCTTACATGGCAACGGAAGGAAATACCCCGGAGCCATGACAAACCGAGTGGGTAGCCAAATGTACGCTCACGCTTGAGAACCGCAAACCCTTCCTTTTCGCCATCCGTACGTGAGGCGGCGACCCAGACTTGCTTTATGTCTTGTTGCTCCCAATGGGGAGAGGATGGCGTCGGAGATGGTGGCCGAAGCGGTCGGTAGAAGGAGACATCAATGTACCAAAGGAGGAGAGGAACGCCGCGGTATCTCGGTTGCAGTTGATGCGAGAAGGGAGAGATTGATTTGAGGGAGGCGTGCGGCGATGATTCTGCTACTACTGGTACTGGTGACCCATCGCTACTCCTTCACAAGTCCGGTCAGATAAAGCGCAGAAGTATTTGCCAGGAGAGGAGATACACACCACCACCGCAAATATCACGGCTACCGACAGGGTGCTGCCAGCCCTCTGGGTGACGAGAGCTTTTAATCGCTGCCAGCAGAGCAACTGGAACATGGCTGGGCCGGGACCTGCTTCGGTAGTGGTCATCGAGGGCACACCATCTTCATCATCCATCGTCTTAGCTGGTCGGGTCCAAACGGAGCCTCGAGGCCGGGTGGCGTGTCGAATGAGGATGAACCTCTTGGGTCATGTCGTGGCGAATGGACGAGTGGGTGGATGGACGTATGGGTGCGTGCTTTGGGCCTCCAGACGACGTTATCACCCGTCGAAGATTCCACAAGTTGCCTTTGGGAGCTGACCACTCTCGAAGGCCAGCTACTTCGTGATGCCGTCAACGCCGTGATGGAGGGTCGCAAAGTGTCGCCCTTGATACTAGGTATGAGGCAGATAGAAGCCGCTGTCGCCGTCGCTTTTGTTGTTTTTGCTCTTACTGCTACTGATGATCGAAACGGAACGTGGTTGCAAGGTATTCGGCGAAAGACTTTGACTTGCGGGTGTGGATGAGACACGGAGGATCCAAGCTTTCGAGGGAGAGGGAGCCAGAATAATCGTCGATTTTCACATGTTTGTTCGTGCAATTGAGTGGAGCGCCATTTGTTTGGAAAAGAAAGTGTGGTCCTCGCGTGGCACGAGAAAACAAAAATCCAAAAAATCGTAGCGCCGTTTGTTTGCTCGGGATCAAACGAGTTCCAGACGAAAAGTTTTGCTGCGATCAGATATTGACCAGATTATAAGGGTGGCTGCATTGTATTGCGCGGCGTATTGCATTTATCAGTATCCCATCAAGTGCGACTGGACTGCTGTACTTTGATTGCGGGGTAATATCCAATCAATAGAGGCCCAGCTTTTTTTTACCCAATCACGAATTTTGTGGTTGAGCTAAAGTGGATCTGCGTTGGAGAATAGTGGACCAGTCATGTACTGAAGTTCAGTCGCACTCGACGCGACGCGATGAAGTGAAAATAACCTGGAAGACACCAAAGACAGAAAGGACATTTAATTGCGTATCCCCCCCTTGATTAAAAAAAGTAGAAAGATGCAGGTACGTGTCTTCAGCTTACCTACGTACTTGCCCTACTCCACGCCTCTTCCTGCTGTCCCGGTCTTTCTTGCAACAGTACCTTCTACACGCAAAATCTCAGTAACAACCACCACTAAAGATCCAAACCGAAACGACCTTTTTTGTCGTTCCTAAACCTCTCAGCATGCAATAAATCACCCTTCGGCTTTTTTCCGCCGCTGGCTGCTCCGCAACATCAAGCTGCACCTCCAGGGCAACGGCATCGTCCGTACAAACGCTCAGTGAAAATCAAACTCCGAGTCCGAGCTCAGCGAGCTCTGCGCTGCAGCCTGCCTCCGAGCCTCTCGAGAACAAGCAGCAGTCCCGCCGATCCGCAAAGCACGCATGGGACCTTAGCCAGAAGTGCAGCAAATTGCGTGAGGACCTCTGCCTTACTTCTGATTCCATGCTCAGGATACATACCGCCTTCCTTTCCATCCTCAGAGTCCCGGCGGTCCGTCTCGAGCTACTTGACGACACCACCCGCGAAGTTCCCAAGGTGGCAGCAGAAAAGACGAAGCTCGATGATACCCAAGTCGCAATATACCTTCACTCTCCACCTCAAGTCCTGGCTGCAGTCGTCAGAAGAGGTACGCAAGCTGGTCGATGGGGGGGGGTGACTGGCCTGGCTGGCGCTATTGCTCGACTTGATCGGCGAATGGAAAGGCACCTCGCTATTGTGCATTGTCTACACGACCCGTGGTACGTAAACTCCGTCCAAGTCTTGTTTTTTGCTCCCGCGCCCCGCGCTCCGGTTCGTCTTGCTTCTTTCTTGCCGTTTAGGTCTGCCAATGATTGTAACTGACACATCGTCTCAGATCTGTGGAAGACATCTGCTTCAACCTCGAACATGTTGCCCCTTTGCACCGGCGCCGAATCGTCTTTGTGGTCACCCTCCTCCCGCGGGCCACCACACAGATCGGCCTTACCCCTACATGCGTGCCGACCGCACTCAAGTCCATCGATGCTGGCACAAGACAAGACACCAACGCCGATACCTATGGCAGGCCTGCTGCGTTTTGGACCTGGTTGAAGGCGCACGTCCGTCTACTCCATGAGAGCGCCGGGGATATTAAGGATTCGTTCTTCGACAGCGCCCCGCCGAGGAAGGATGAACAGACCCTGGATCAGGCGGGGATAACGGCAGGGACACGGGCGAACGGGAATACGGTTTGACGGCCGTGCTACGGAAAGCCGACTCAATGGGATGGTTTGCACGGGGCTGACGACGGGTCTCCGAGGTCTGCGGAGTCTGACGGTGGGCATTGATGGATACTAATGTAAGATGAAGTTGTGATGTAGCGGGTTCCAGGGGCCAGAGATGCATGTGGTCTTACATGGTGGACTGGTTGGATGGGGCGCCACCTTTTCATGAGGAGATGAGGACATTTCCCCATTTAACGGCAATATTGTACCCAGATCGTGCATATCAAAGATGTCGCGAGTTCGACAGCCATCTCGTCTACACGTCGTAGCACAACTAAGCCAGCCTAAGTCGGATCTGCCCATCAGCATCATATGTTGAAGCACCGTCTGCAAGTCGACGGCCTCGGCCAGCGCTCTGGTATTCTCGTCCACAAAACCACCACCGCTTTCGTTGCCATTCTCATTATAGCGAGCCGGCATCAGGCTCGCAACGCCACCAACTAAGGCCAAGCCCAAGACGGCGAGGAAGAGGATCGGGGGGAAGGGAAAGACCTCGGGCCGGGCGACGAGGTAGCTTGACGTCGAGCACACGCTCAACATGTTCCAGAACGAAAACGGAAACTACACCGGTGTGTATGTGTGTCTGGCTGTTGTTCACTACGGATTGCAGCTTTTGATTGCGTCATGCCGGTTGGATGGTGCGGTTTGAGAAGCCAATACATAGAGAAATTCCGACACGAATCTGTTCGTCCACATCGGACATCCATAGGAGGTAACAACGCTGTCTGCCTTCCTTGAACACTTTCACCACCACCGCGCAAACAAACCCAGCATGATCCCAACCAGCAAACGGACTCCGTCACCCACCATTCGCCCCTCCGTTCACTTTCCCTTCCAATAGCTCCCTGTCCCATGCTCTTCGCTGCACCGTCCGTTACATCACATTCGCCTCACAGCAGCAGATCACCCGTAGTGTGACTTCATCAGCCTCGTCGGCTCCAGCATGCTCCGGTTCAACCGGGGCCCTGCCGACATCATCGCCGTTGAGGCGCACCTAGCCCGCCACCGTCTACACCTGAGCAATTCCGTCTCACTGTACCTTTTCGAAAGCCTTAGCCTGCCATTACGCCCCGATGACTAGAGTATCGAAGCCAATTCCGAGTTTGTCCTCACCATCTCCCCCGAGGTGAAGACCTCCCTTCGAGTACCGCCTCAAGAAGCTCGCCAAAGAGTAACGCGGAGCTCGGTCGCGGGGTCCAGTATCAGCAGACGGCCCGTTGGAAAGGGTACACTAACCTCTGGATCGATTCGGAATGGGATGGGTGCAAATAGCTAAGGCAGCTGTCGCCGCCGCCGCGTTCGAAATAACGTCGAGGACTGTCGCAAGAGACGATGCCGCCATTTCCGCTCTTCCTGTTCCGCCGCCGCCGCAAGTCTGGGAGCAGCCCCAGGACCTACTGCAGAGCCGCCATCTCGGTGGTGAGCAGTTCTTCTCCCGCAGTAGACATTATCGGTGTCGCCGCCGCCCCGGCTGGAGCGATCAGTAATCGGAACGTGACCAGGGTGAGAGCAGCCGAGCAGCGGCAGCATGCCCGGTCGATGTCTCCCTGTCCGCGATCCTCCGCGTCGAACCATCCCCCTCCTCACCCTTAGCCGCCGCAGCGACAGCAGCCGCTGTTCTTGCGCGAAGAAGAGGAGGAGGAAGACCCTCTAGTACACCAAATTGACCCCACGCTGCCTCGAACCCGAGCCCGAACTCGTCTGCGAATGGTCGGCGCAGGCCCATTCAACCTCTTCAGGGACCAGGCCAAGATCAACACCCGGCCGCGCTCCTGCTGACGAATGGAGTCGTCGGCAGCAGAAAGAGCGAGGAGGAGAGGGTGGGCTGATGGGAGAGGCGAGGCAGCGTATGAGGATCCTTGCGGCGGCCATTGGGATTGAGCGGCGGTTGGCGGTCACCTCCGTGGTGCTTGCCGTATCTAAGCATGGGATCACGGCGATCCAGAATCTGTATCGTCTTGCCGGTGTGAAGTATTCTGGATGATCCGTGTGTTTGCATGTGTGTCTGTTGTCTTCACCACGTTTGAACTTCAAAGTCTTGTTAGAAAAGGGTTGTCGGCTAGAAAAACAAGCTCCCGATAAGGCTCGGTGTCTTACCTAGTCCGCTGCCATTCTTCCGCCGACCGGGCACGTATCGTCGCCGCAGCTGCGGGCAGAATAATCTCACTCATACGTAGGGACGCTCCTGGTTGTACTCCGTATGCCACCGACTCCAGAATCAGATCAGTCCCTCGGGTGTGCGGGCGCTGTCGTTCTTGCTCTCGATGTCGGCCATGACGGCCACGAAGTTGATTCGCCTCATCTTGGTCGCCAGGTTGCGGTCGTCAGACTTCATCCAGATCCACCGGTAGGCGAATACCATGTCGACGGCGATGATGGGCCGCCTGGGACAGGGTTGCTGCAGACTCGGACACGATGGCATTGCCGCCGGCGCTGTTGCTGCCACGGTCAATGAGCGGCGAATTGTGTGCGACCACATCGCGGAGCACGAGAACTGCCGAGCAAGCCCGGTCCCGCATGCCAGCCGCGATGGAGCGTGGGAATGGAGTGACGCAATGGATCCGTGCGATGCCGTATTCTGAGGGGTTGTCAAGAAGCGAGCGCACCGTTCGTCAAGCGCTGCGTTTGGGGTTACTGGCTAGGCACCAACGGCAACAGTGTGGTTGATTCGCGGGATGAAGTCAGAGAGCAGAGCGTCCGCTTCGTCAAGGACGGCCGCGTAGAGAACCAGCACTTGTTCCCGAGAGAGACTCGCGCGTCTGTGGCCGTGGTGATCAGGCGAGGCCTTTTCGGGAAAGTCGAGGTTGGCTGTCACCAGCGAAGTCCTAGCCATTTCCAAAGGCTCTGAAGGGCGTAATTGACTCCATTCTTCTCGTTTGAGCCAGTTGGAGAAGTGGCCAAAGGCTTGACCGCGGCGGTGTGGGTGCAGGCAGAGGCGACCGCCGCTCGCTTCGCACAGTCATGTACGCTGCCCATCATGAAATCAGCATTCTTCGTAAGTTCTGCCAGGTCTGACCTGGCGGGTGTGGCGGGTGTGGTCTCTGATGGATCGTCCCTGACTAAGACTGTGACGTTGAGTTCGTGTTCTCGGACCTCGACGAGCCCCAGTAAGCACGAGCTGGAACGAAGGGACGCTTCCGAAGACCAGTTCTTCGGGATGGCTCGGATCTTGCCGTTGGAAATCGCTAGACAGTAGAGGACCCTGGATAGCTGTTTCTGAAGCGCGGAGAGGGATGGGATGGTTTTGTCGCTATTTTTCAGATCGTCCTCGGCGGAGTCGGAGCGGGGGTCGACGGACGGTTGAAGGCGGTTGAGAATGACGTCGCGTTCGATTGGGCCAAACTTGACGAGATCAAAGTGAACGAGGTAGTTGTAATCTGGGCCAGCTGTTAATGTCGATATGGGGGTGGGCTTCTCCCCAAGGATCCGAAGGAATGGCGCCGCCTCTTGGCCAGCAAAGCAGTGATCTCGTCGTCGTCGTTATCGTCGCTATGTTTTTGATGGTCATCAGCTTGGTATTCAACTCGAAATGTTGCGTCTTCGCCTCGTTTGAGGAGGAGGATGGTGGCGAGCCTTACAAGCAGTCAGCTTTACAGGCAGCGTCCCCCATCATGAACAGATTTGGAATCTGGAGACAGCAGCTTGAAGCGGACAGAGCTTGGACGCCCGGACGCGACTCCCAGCCCAATATTCATGGTCGCGTTCGCTTTTATCTCGCAAGGTGTAGGCTGATCGTCTTGGAGAAGAAATGCCAGCCAGAGTGGAAGCAGAGTCGAGGTGCCCGAGGCTCATGGCCTGGTCACGCTCGATGGATGATTGAATGGCGGCGAAAGAGTCGTCGTTGCTGTTGCTGCCATTCCATTTGTTTGGAATGTTGCTCGGGGTCATTTCCAGAGCAGCAGATTGTTTGTTCGGTGTCTGGTCGAGTGCCTCGCGTCTGGGGAGACAACGAGGTTTGCTGGGGATGCCGTGAGGACGAGACGTAAGTGTGCCATGTCGAGAGAGGGAGGCTAGGGTGTAACGCTGGAGCGAGGAGGGCTAGGTCTTCATTGTGCCGGCAAGAAGCAGAAGAAGAAAATTGCCATTCAAAGTGAATGTTGATAGGTCGCGCCACCGAGGTCGAAATAGAAAGCTCCAGCCCGGTTACCGGGCCTACACCCGACACGCCCGGGCAGCCACAAGCCCGCAACCCTGGACCAACTGGATAAATGTGTACTCGTTGGGTATGGCGAGATATCTATGACCAGATTATAAGGGTGGCTGCATTGTATTGCGCGGCGTATTTCATTTGCTGGACCAACTGGACGGAGGCGGGATAGATCCTGGGGCTTGGATAAGCCACACAGCCACTGATTGATCGGTTGCTGACTTAGCAAGCTGCCAGCTGCCGCCGCCTAATCCGCCGGGACCAAATTCACTGGTCACACCTCATCGCCTGCTGTGACCAATTGTTTTGGTCACACCTCAGTGTCTACAGTCGGCCACTCAAACCAGCAGGCGGCAAAAGTCATTAGTTGCTGAAAATGGGTAGGTGGGGATATTTTGCAGCCGTGAAAAATATGCAGCCACAGCCGGGGTCTGGATTCCCGACAAAATATCGAAATCTGGCTGGTCCTGTCTCTAGTTAGTTTGGAGGCGATCGAGTCGCATCAAGATAATTTTAGAGAGCCTGCGTCGCTGTTTATCTATTTTGCAAGCGTTCACGTCTCCTGCAGACTCATGTGTCGATTGAATCTTCCAAGAAACAGCAGCAAACGGCATGAAAAACGGCCGGTGGTTCTAGGTTGCTCGCACGTATTCTTATTAGACGCTGGGACGAGATCCTTCGATTATGAAACTCGGTGGGTGAGTATTTGCATTGGAGGCTTGGTGCGATGGGGAGCTGGATTCGTTCCCGTGCAAACGCCTGCGCCAGCTGGTGTGTCTGTGGATGTCTTCGCATTTGACGTCCGATGAGAACCGGAAGACGAGCAGTCGCTTTGTACATCACCAAAACAGAGGTAGAACAGGCTGCATACCTTTAGACGCCGAGAGTATTTCCCCACCAACTCTCAAAAACTCCCGTCGAGCGGCATCACAGCCCCACGTTTCCTTTAATGTTCTCAATGACTCCTCGACAGTTCTCAATATCTTTTGATATCCTTTAATACCCTTTAGTGCCACTTAATACTGCTTAATACCCCTTAATGGTCAATTAATGCCACTATGTTGACGTCCTATTGGCTGACAGGGCCGTTCTCACAATTGCGATACTTCAGCCTAGTGCGATATCCTTCTTTGCCTTAGCACTACATCGTCCAATATCGCCAATAGCGCTAGCGCCTTGTGCTTATCTCAATGGCCGCTGAGTGGAAGACATCGTTGCCTGCAAGTCAAAATCAGCAGCGTCGACTTCGTTATGCCTGGAGCTTGTTTGGACTTGGCTCACTTAGTGTAGTGAAGCTCTCGTGCTTCGATCTCCATCTCTCTTGTGCATGTCGGCAGCGAACAGCCGTGGTCCTTGAACAAGCTTCAGTGAATGATGTGAGGATGCATCCAGGGGGCAGGAGACATGTGTAGCGTGGTCATCGTGAACATACCGTCCTGAGAATCGTGCCTAAGTGCTTTGCCGCCGGCGGAATTCATAACATCGCTCACATTTCGTGTTTCTGTTGAGCCACTTTAGTCACTTTCATCGCTGCAATGCTCGAAGGAAGCCGAAGTAATCTTCTCGCAGATGAAGCTCTGCGTCAAGGAAGAGCAGTCCCAAACTCCTCCTTCGGGTCGTTAAGGCCCTCAGAGCTGACGACAAACGATTTTCTCGCGCAGAGTGGTTGGAATACAAAATCGGTCCATTAAAAAAGTAGCCCCGAAGCGCTCCTAGGGCTCCTGGTACTGCTCGCGCGTGTCGCAAGCCCTAGCTTCGCGCTGTTTCACTACTCAAGCTGTCAAGGTGAGAAACTGGTCAGCTTTCGTAGTGTTTGTTCCTTCTTTTCTTCATTTGTCGCAGCGTTCTTCAGATGTATTGTATCTGCCGTAGTCCGGTTCGATGGTTTTAATGAGGGCTGGCGAGATCATACGCGACTGGGTCACGTTTGGAGGAGTTCTTCGGAATAGCTTTTCACGGCTGTTGTCCTCATATCATCTACACGGGAACGCGCAAGCAGTCTCACGGACGCTGAATACAGTGTTCATATGCGGCGCCCTTGCTGATTCTCCGAATGACCCCGTGGATTCATGGGTTTATAGTGGCCTCGAGCATCATCATCGACTTTCATGATGCAAGGCGTTCATCAACTGTGAGAGCAGGAAAAGATGGCTTTGTCTTCACTTCCATCAATAACGTCGGACTCCTGATTGCGTCACACATGAGTTTTGATTTGAACGTGTCGGTAGAGGTGAATCAAAAGTACACCTGGCTCGGGTGATGATTCAGGAAGTTCGTTTTCCGATATGTTTGATGTAGTTAATTGAGATCCAGTGCTGGGTAGAGTACACTTGTATCGTGGCTTTTGTGGCTATTGCCCGCCGTATGAATTTCCTCGTGTGCTGGGATAAATCAGTCGTAAAGCGGAACTTCGACACTTGCCTCTTGTAGAATACAGGCGTCGGCGGCGGTTGCGATAATGGCTTCGATGGCGTCTTTGATAGGGGTCTACCTCGAGATTCGGGTTCATTCCATGGGCGATACGAGATCAACGGGCTTTCGAAGGTGGGTTGTCAGAGCATCCTTCGTGTTGAGTGATGGGAAGGCGCCATACAAAAGATTAGAAGGCCCTGTGGTGGTTATGATGGCAATTGAGAGCCGCGGAGTGTCGTCCGTGACGGCTACATGTTGAAAAGTCGATGTGCAGACGAGAAGGACACGCCCGCGCCAAGTTACCTGGCGATTGCTGAAAGCCCCTGCCTGATAACAAACAGCAAAACAGTTTCATGCACCCATGAGTATCCGATGTCGACAAGCAGATCAGATAGGAGATGACGACGCGGCTCGGATGTAGAGGGTTCTGGGTTCCCTGCTCGAAAACATACAGTGCCGCATCTTTCCAACAGTTACTCAGCGCCTCGAGAGCAGTTCATAGCTTCGAAATCGCGAGGAGGGCGAGGGCTTTCCGAGAAGCAACCGATGCGATCGGCAGCAAGGGCCTGCAGCAAGGGTCGGCGGCACAGGCCGACGATGCCAACAAGACAGCGACTGGCAATGGCTGTTGTAAAGCCGAGAGACAACACGTATGCTTCGGAATAGATTTCTACTTTCCGACGCAACCACCCAGAGTGTTTTCTGAGACTGGTTTGCCCGGGGCCTTTGCTTGTTTCCGTACTCTGCAGAACGGGAATAATTAGATTGCAGTCTTTCAAATCGATGCGCAGGACAGAGCAGCTAGTTGCCCCATTCCTGGCCGCCGGTCTTGCGGGTCCTGTACTTGGCCGGCCAGCGGTCGCGGTCACGGGTCTTGAGGTCGAGGTTGAGCTTGAGATTGTACAGAATAAAAGAACCGATTTTGCATGACGGTCCCATTAGGTCTGCTACAAAATTTGGCTTTTCATCTTGGGCAGCAAGTCAGTAGATGCGTGGAACCTTGTCACCTTGACTTTTGGAGCAGACGAAGTTGAGCTTGGGTATTCCGGGTTCGCACCAGCTTGTCCTCTTTTTGATGCACTCTCTGGACCCCCATCACCCGATCTAAGATCCCCAAGCGTTCTTGTTTGTGGCAACGCTGGTTATCAACAGCAGGGCTCTCATCGTTTCCTTGGCTTCAGCTGCTGATATGACGTCGCGTCCATAGTCTTGTATTGTGCCCTTCGCCAGAAGGGCGGGCGGGAGCATTCTGTCTTGTCTTGCGCCGAGAAGTCAGAGGGAGGGATCTTGGGGTTCTCCGTCTTCGGATCAAGCAAGGATTTCGTGTTACGCCGTTCCGGTCGAAAGGGCGGAGGGGGGGATATTGTCTTGCGCTGTGGAGAGACAGAGGGAGAAGTCTCGTCGTGCATTGTCGATTGTGTCGGTCTTCACGATATCAGAGGACGGCGAGAGCTGCCACGAACACAGATACCAAGTCACGGCCGCAGCGGTTAGGGTTCGACCCATTTGTTTAGAGTCTTGTGGTCGCTGCTCTTGACGCGCTGTCGTAGTCAACCGGGTCGTCAAGCTGACGAGTTTTGTTGGCTCAGAGGTTTGGACTCGGTGTCCAGCTGTTGTTGTGGGGACGCTGACAATCTCTCAGGTCTTGCTGAGGAAACGCATGGCCCTCGGTGACCGGGCGGGCGATTTCTCAAGAGAATGAATAGAAGCGGTGTAAGAAAGAGTAGGAAGCCGTCTGTATTCAGCGATGTTAGTCAACGCTTCGTGACCAGCGGTCGGCAGTCGGCACCGGGTAGTCGCATACAGCCCGTTTGTCCC